TCGTAAGTCTAACACATAGAATGGATAACATATAGATCAATCTACAATATAACATAAAATTTTTGGCGATCGGAGTAAATGTCACGTGGTTATAATGCCACGCCCCTTTGAGGTCTGAGTCGAAAATCTGCTGTTGCCGGCATTTTTTCGTGAAAATCTCTCGGCTACACATAGTGCGCATTAGTGCCTTGCGCTGAACAGAGTTTCACCAAAATCGCAAAGACCCAATTCGAGAAATTCAGCGGTTTCCAAATTTAGGTCATAATTTATGCGAAAATGATAAGCAAACTTTACACGGATTATATCTAATAAACTATGAGATTCATCTCTTTATTTTGGGCATCGTTATAACAGATGGGTCCTTGCAAGTCAGCAAAACGCTTTAGGGCCTTGTAAATGCGCGCGATTTCGAGCAAAGCAAACATATAGAAATTATAGTTTTCGCTATTTGTTGACGTTTGTCAGCGTTTAAGAGTCCTTCTCACGAAAAAAGCATTTTCTTAAAAATTCGTAGTTTTTTTTCCTTCAAATTTTTTCAGGGCCACAATTGATTAACTAACTACCCGGACTCTGAATTTCATGGTCATTGAAAAACTGTGACATTATCTTCTATAAGCCCAAACTTGAGTAAACATTGAAGATTTTTAGCGTTTTGGCTGAGTTTGTGCTTTGGGAGTTGTCTATTGTTTCTAGTCTGTCATTATACAGCATTCTTGTTCAGCACGCGTGCAATGACCGCGCTTGGCTGACTTCCGAATGCTCACCGAGATATAATAATTTTGGTACAGTGAGACAGGCCATCGCGTGATACATAGAGGTTTAAGTCACAATTTTTAATCAATTCTCGTGCTTCTTGTGCCTTTGCAAAAAAATCAAGAAGTGCTACACACTAAATCTACTTACTATTAAAAAAATATCATTTTTTCATAGGTTTAATGCAAGCCAATAATTAAACCAACTCGTGACGGGAATATCTCGGTGAGCATTCGGAAGTCAGCCAAGCGTGGTCATTGCACGCGTGCTGAACAAGAATGCTGTATAATGACAGACTAGAAACAATAGACAACTCCCAAAGCACAAACTCAGCCAAAACGCTAAAAATCTTCAATGTTTACTCAAGTTTGGGCTTATAGAAGATAATGTCACAGTTTTTCAATGACCATGAAATTCAGAGTCCGGGTAGTTAGTTAATCAATTGTGGCCCTGAAAAAATTTGAAGGAAAAAAAACTACGAATTTTTAAGAAAATGCTTTTTTCGTGAGAAGGACTCTTAAACGCTGACAAACGTCAACAAATAGCGAAAACTATAATTTCTATATGTTTGCTTTGCTCGAAATCGCGCGCATTTACAAGGCCCTAAAGCGTTTTGCTGACTTGCAAGGACCCATCTGTTATAACGATGCCCAAAATAAAGAGATGAATCTCATAGTTTATTAGATATAATCCGTGTAAAGTTTGCTTATCATTTTCGCATAAATTATGACCTAAATTTGGAAACCGCTGAATTTCTCGAATTGGGTCTTTGCGATTTTGGTGAAACTCTGTTCAGCGCAAGGCACTAATGCGCACTATGTGTAGCTGAGAGATTTTCACGAAAAAATGCCGGCAACAGCAGATTTTCAACTCAGACCTCAAAGGGGCGTGGCATTATAACCACGTGACATTTACTCCGATCGCCAAAAATTTTATGTTATATTGTAGATTGATCTATATGTTATCCATTCTATGTGTTAGACTTACGATAAAAGTAAAGGTGGGGATACCAGAGAGCTTCAAAGTAGGATGGTACCCCCCCAAAAAAACTGGGTCGAGTCACCTTAAGTATCTGTAAAAAAAAACCCATTGTCAGTTATCCACTTGAGGTTCCCTTCGTTCTGATTGACGATTTCAGGAAACGAGCTGTATAGGGGGTTATTTTAACCCCTGTATTGGGGGTTATTTTAACTCCTAATTTAACTCCGAATTTGGGGTCATTTTTACTCCTGAAAAAGAGTTCTTTTTACTCCCAGTCTGGAGTATAAAATAACTCCGAAATGGGGTTACTTTTACTCCTTATATGGGTTGTTTTTACTCTTTTTGGAGTTAATTTAACTCTGAAAGTGGAGTAAAAATTTTAGGTACAGGATAACTCCTTTTTTGGGGTTATTTTAACTCCTCAATCTCTGGGGTCACTTTTGCTCCTGAAAAAGAGTTCTTTAAACTCCTTTTTGGAGTTAGGGTTAGGGTTAATAGCTGCCTCGATTTTCTTATCTCAATTTCTCTCGTGACTGACCTTTTTTATTATAAATATGGTACTTTTTCACTTCAACTATTCGTAATAAATCTTAAGCCGTCTACACACCACCTGCCTCGATTAGCCTTGCTATTTGCAGGTGGTGTGATATTTGTAAATTTAATGTAAGAAATAAAGATGTTGTTGTTGTTGTTGTTGTTAAAATAACACCCCAAAAAATAACTCCACTGTAAGGAGTTCAATTAGCCCCACGAGAGGAGTTATTATAACTCCTCGAAAATTACTGTGTGTGCACTAGTATTTCCCATTACTCGTCCCTATGACAAGCTGAACACAATGTAACTAACAAAAGCCACATTAACGGAGCCTAAGAAGGCTGCTTATCTCTCTTATCTCTCTTCAAAAAATGCTTTGAAAAATTGTCTTTTAACTCTCTAGTCCACACGAATCCGGACATTTTTTGAAAACGCGCATTTTCTAAAGCAAATAGGCCGCGGATGAGTGAGCAGATTGGCGTATAATAGTATGCCGAAAAACCTTACGGAAAATATCCGGCTTTGCGTGGACGGCGATCCTCCTTAAAAGCCCCTTTTTCCTTTGGCTGTTTTTTCTCTTTTTCATCAGTAATCATTGTAGAGAAGTGAAGTAGAAGTGTTACAATACTCTGGGTTGTGGGACTGAAATCAGTATCCTCTTGGTGTCTCCAGTTTTTCGTAATTGCCAACGGAGATAGAACATTACTGGAACCGCTGGAACCTTATTTAATGACAAAGAATATTTGCGTATTTACCCTGTTTCGGTATCATAATTATACTGTTACATGAAAGTGAAAATCAATTTTAAAAATTACCCTAGGACAATCGGTGAATGATGGTAAAGTATTTTGACTTACTTTCTAACCGCATGGCAAGTATATGAACAGAAAGACCTTTTTTTTTTCCACATGGAATGTTGGTCAGAAATACTCGAGTTGTTTAAAGCCTGAGACTATGGGGTTTACCTGTGGGAAATGATTTATCGGCGCAGATTATGGACCTGAATCAAATTTGGTTCTTAACATTTTGAAGTATTAAGATTATGTTAATAAGTCACGTGGTATGTCACGTTACCATTTTGCTCAAATCGTGAAAAATTGACAGGTTGGTGACTAGACGGGTTTAGGAAATTAAAAGAAATCGAGCAATAGCACTTTTCTTATTCATATTGAATATTTCTAACACTTCACGTTTGGAATGACTGTCCAATACACTTCAATAAAAAATTATGAGGGAAAACATCATTTTAAATGCCAAAATTTAATCTTGAATTATTTAAAACTTTAATTTTAAACTTCGTGGACATTCAATCCAAAAGTAGAAAGTTAGGTACGTTTATCTACTATCAAAAATACCAATTTACTTAATATCTGAAGAAAGTAGATTCATCACCAATTCGCCAATTTCCTTCATTTTCAATTTTTGGTCACGTGACATGTCACTTGACTATAATTAAACTTTAAAGCACAAGGAAATCTCAAGATTAACTTTTGCGGAAAATTTCATTTTGGTCTAGGTCTCCTGGCGAGCGATATTGCCAATCAATAATATGCTGTTAACACACCTTTGACACAGGCCTTAAACCCCTTAAGTATTTAACCAGTTTTTTGTATCTGTTTTATCCGGCTGTTGCGTATTTTAAAAGTGAAAAAGAAAAATTGAAAGACATGATTTATTCAAGAAGCCGCTGGCCGATAAAAAAAGAACGAAGAAGAAGTGAGAAACAGTTCAGTTTTTTTATTGTGGAAAAACAGTTCGTGTTTTCTTAATCTGCTTGAGCTTCACTTTTTTTGTCAATTAAAATCCGTCAGACAATATTGCTTCCATTTAGTCCAGCTGCGTCAACTTCATGGCCATTCCCTACTTTTTTCATTTTTTTAGAAAACGTGTATTTATTTTTGTCACAAAATTTGCAAATACATACCTCGTTTGGATAATAACACGGTTTAATTATATTTTGCATGAAAAAATGGTTCCATTTGCTCTCTGAGACTGAAACTCATAGTAATGTTTGTTACCTTAACTTTTAAATGCCCCATTGAGGGAAAGTGTTGCTTTGTGATAAGGGTTTTAGGAAATTATGAATTGATGTGGCAGCTTTTGAATGGATAACAACCTCTCTTTTTCTAATCCTTAAAGTTGCAAACCGCACGTAACACTGAGGGCAATTTTTTTAACCGTTTAGACATCTTGGCTGGGTTTCCTCGACCCTTTATGATTCTCGTTTAAATTTCAGAAAATGACAGGATATTAGAATAATTATATGACTGAACGAATTCGTTGCTTAGAGGTCAGATCAAATGTCATATTTTTAGTGGTAATCTTCTAAAATCCACGAATACATAGAATATTATTTCTTAATATTTTTTATATCTATTAAGAAATATGAGATAATAACTGCTAGATATCAAGCATGTTAATATGTGAGTTAGAAGTAGAATTTAGTCCTTATTTGTATTTGCTTACTTACTTCTCAGCGAGGCCGGATTAGACCGCAATGAATAAGAAACTAATTATGAGGAGGACTTTCACTTTTGACGTCAATGCATTTCATATGCAAATTAATGTCAGTCCTCTTGTATTAAAACAGGTGAAAAAGTAGAATATATAACAGTTTACTTGAACGCTCTATAACACCGCATCATTCTGTCACCCATGTCGTTGGAAAAGTAATTTCATATATTTTAAGCGAAAGAGAGCGTAAGTTGGTTGAAAACCGTTAATAGTCCGTTATGGCCGATGACCAAAAGATAGTACCTTATTGTAAGCTTGTGCTGGGGCGTCCTAAATTATGCTTTGGTAAGATTTCAATCTCAGTAATAAGTGTTCTCGAATCATATTCAGTTTATAGAATAAGCAGTTGGGAAAGTTTAAGCCTAAGAGAATGAGAAAAGTTATCGGGCTCAGCAGTTTCATGAAGACAACCCTGTATGCCGGTCTTTATACGAAATGCGAACATTATTCGATTCAGCTGTCTATTTTATATATACTGACTATACTTTGTAATAACAGATGAGTAAGATGTCGAGAAAAACCATTTCTTCGTTTTCAAAAATCTCTTTGCCAGATAAACACGGAAGATAAAACATTGTTTGCGAAAAATCACAATCTGTCCCACAAAACTTACCGGACATTTTGCGCAACAATATTGCAATAACAATATTTACTTGTGCAGTTTAAAACCGACATGTTAAGCCCAAGAAGAGTAAATGTTTGTTATAAATTTGATAATTTTCCTCTAAGGTTTATTGCACTTATTTAATACTTCAAGGTTTTATTTTGTCCCACAGCCATTGCACTTGCTGCCCATGTATCGGTTATTTTACTCACTGCAACTCTTCACATGTCTGGCTACAACATTCTCCCGGTGGATTTTTCTCGAGTTCCGCTGAATTTGGAAAACGACAATTCCAAGTTGAGAGCAGATGCTTGGAAATTTGCCAGCGAAGATCCGCGCGTTAATTTAAATGCAGCCTCCCTAGGCGTTCAAGGAGAAAGAAAGGCGAGGTATGACTTGTTGTTACTCGTCTACGAGTTAAAAGAAGGAAATGTGTTCACCAAAGAAAATCTTCAGCTGATTCAGAAAACGGAAGAAGAATTGTTTTCTAACACAAATTATCAGGAAAAGTTATGTTTGTTGATGGAAAGCGGCAAATGTAAAGCACCTACTTCAATTATCAGATTTTTTGATGGCACATATAAAATGCTTCATCCTTTACTTAATGACCCGGATTTTGAAAATATTCCACGAGTTTTGAACGCTGCAAAAGATATAAATCGTACTCGAGTAATCTTAGACTTTCATCTCAGCAAGGACGCTGTTATAACTCCTTCAATTGCCAAGTCGTCATACACACGATCTTTCCTTACGCTCGGGTTCCCATTTAAAGGTTTCCGAAGTGTTTCAGACAGCCCAGATGAGCAATTTAATTTTTCGCAAGAATACTCCGGTAGAGCTTTCTCAGAGAAGCTTGCTAAGCTTTACAAATCAGGAATTGGAAACTTGAACTTTTATTATGATCTGAGGTCGCTGTTTTTTGAGGCCACTTCTAAACAAGTCATAGCGGATCTCTTGCTTGTTTTTGGTAGCTTTGCGTTCATTTTCATTTTTATGCTTTTTCAAACTCATTCTCTGTGGATCACCGGCTGGGCATTGTTCAGCATATTTGCATCCTTTTTTAGCGCCAACATGATTTACAGGATTGTCTTCGATTTCCGCTATATTGGTATTTTCCATGTGCTGTCCATTTTCATTATTCTTGGAATCGGCGCTGATGATGTTTTCGTCTTTTATGACACTTGGCGCTCGTCACAAGAGAAATCTTTTCCAAACCTGCTTACCAGGTTCTCGGATGTGTATCTGCATGCTGCTGGCGCTATGTTTATTACGTCTTTTACAACTATGGTGGCTTTCCTTTCAAACGTGACCTCTCCGCTGCTAGGCGTTTCATCATTCGGTACGTTTTCAGCGCTACTTGTGTTTGTCAACTACTGCTCAGTGATCTTGTTTTTGCCAACTGTTCTCATTACGTACGAGTTTTACTGGAAAGACTGGGAATGGCCGTGCTTCAAAGTGTTCAACGTTTGTGCCAGAATTCCTAGCGACAACCAGGTTGCTCCAAGCCCCACAAGAGAGAATGATGAGAAAACTGACGCTGCACAACACATCCCCAGGCAGACACCTAACCGCACTCACAAAATGATAACAAGGTTCTTTGGAGGGATTTTCGTCGATAAAGTAGTTGGTCATAAAATTGTTCGCTGGGTCATCCTGGTCATTTTTGTAGCATTTATATCCCTGTCTGCAACATATGCAGCACAAATAACCGCTGATCAGGAGGAGGTACAGTAATACACACTTTTATTATGCACGGAGCTTAATTCCAGCAGCGAGAATCCAAATGTTTAAAATCCTCTGTTTTCGAAACCTGTAACTCGAACCAGGGGTGTCTTTATTATCTCAGAAAAACACTGAAATTTTTCTCCTGATTTTCCAAGCTCGCGATAAGTTAATCAAATTTCTATTTTCGCAAGAACTGGTAAAAACTATCTGCTATTTCCACTGAATATTCTGACAAATAGCAGGAATCAATCCCCAGTATAACACGAGCAACTCTTCCCTGACGAGAGGCAACAATTCTAGACGTCCAAGGAAAACGTTTAATTCATATACGCCCCTTTCTTCCTGTCAAAACCTTCCTTTAAGTTGTAGTAATTCTCGGCTGTGGTAATTAAAGTAATAGTTTGCGTACTTCGCGGCATAATTCCCTGCAATTATCCAGTGGTCTTCACAGCCTGACGCGTTAAATTAGAAGGAGACCATATGTAAGTACCGTAATCATTTTTTGGGAGGAATGATGGGCTTTTGACGGGAGATACTTGAAAAACTGATGCAGTGAAGAGTTTCTCTCATATCTTACAGATTGATATGTGGGGAGAGGGAACCAACTGGCACAGTGTTCAACGTCTTAATAGAAACCAGTTTAATCCAAGCTCAGAGGACAATGTAATTAACTTGTACATTGTGTGGGGACTCAAGAACCAAGACCGCAGTGAATGCCATTTCACTGACTATAAATGCAAAGGAAAGACAGTGTTGGATAGAAGTTTTGACATGAATCCTCCACCCTGTCAGATAGCTATGCTGGTAAGAAATCACTCTTTAACACTCGTCAAGATCAATAACTGGCCCAGGCCTTTTTTATTTGTCATGACTGATCGAGAAGGTAACTAAGTATGGTATCTATTTGTTTGTAAAATTGCATCGCTCATCGCTCACCGTACGTCCCCGCTTCAATCCATTCGAACCACAGGTAAACCAATAACACCTTCATGGACTGGGTTCTTAAGTTTATTTATCCGTTGTGGGAGGTATTAGTATTTCACGGTTTTTTATTTCTTTACTGTAACTCGAAAGTTCATCTTTTTTCCTAAACGGTTACTATTTAACGGGAGCTCCGTAGCCCAACTTCTGCCTAAAAGCATAGCAAGAACAGCAAAAATACAACTCAAAGGATGACAACTTCTATTTGAAGAATATCTGCTAGACCAAACATCCCTTTATATTCTGAATTCGTGCAAGAAAAGACAAACCTACCTTGATCTGTATAATTCTTCAGAATATACTCAGTCTCACACAATAATTGCCAAATATCTTAAGGAGATCATGCTCCATCATTATCTGTTTTACAGATTTAAACTTATAGTGACCAACATTGAAATCCGTGGTCAGTTCCCAGCTACCCAGCCCTTTAATTAACCTGTTTATGTGTATGCAAAGAATATGCTCGATGCTCAAAGGACCTTCTAGATGGTGTAAGAATCGATGGGAAGAATAGTTTCTATAGTTTCTACTGAATACTTTTGAAGATGTTCTTTGCTTTCATTTAGGAGTTTTGCAAAGAACTGAGAAGTTTGAGCAACGAAAAGCTGGAAGAGTTAAAGGTCAGACGAAACGCAGTAACCAATGAACCGGACATAGAATGTTTTGTGGAGGACATGAATACATTTCTTACAGTGAGTGAGTAAATTTGTTCAGGAACACTGAGTGAGAAAACAACACCAAGTTGATTGACGCAAACTGACGGTATACTATAGGAGTTGCATAGAAATAAGTCAAATTAATTTTAATTAATCAAGAGTTAATGACTCTTGACTTTAAGTCAAATATGAGTGGCGATATACATTACACAGTGATCTTTACAACCCGGAAGGGGGACTCCAATATAAAAGTGAGGGGGATGCTCGTCGTCTCGCTTAAGGGTATAAATTGCAAACAATTTAATTTTTGGGCTCACTTTTGGTGTCTGGGACAGAAATTCACTGTATTTGCCCATTCAAGTATCGCTTAGGGCTTATGTAAAGAAATTAAAATAAAAACAAGTGACGTCTGTTTTAGTACGGTCTTCTTTAGGGATCAGTTTAAGCTTGAGCCACACCCATATTGGTCTCCCTTAGCGGCTGAATTTTAATTTTCCGACGAGCATTCCTGTCACTTTTATATGGGAGTTCTCCCCCCAAGCTTTACAAATAGTATTTTTCAAATAACAAAATCCCCTGTACTTGAATTTATATGTAAGGTGTTTCTTTCTGTATGTTTTTGTATTTCTTTTCTTTTCTTTTTTCTTATGTAATTTAATAACGTCTTTATTTGAAGTCTTGTCCTGCCTAGATTAGCATTATAGCTATTTGCAGGACATAAAGTATTGTAAACTTTATATTTCTTTACAAATACATTGTTGTTGTTTGCTTGTTGTTGTTGTTGTTGTTGTTGTTGTTGTTAATCGACTTACAATTTGACTTAAGTTGCTGTCGACCTATGAAACGGAATAATTGTTTACCCATTTTCTGGTATCCAAAACTACAGTTTGAAATCAGACCTTTTCAGAGAACAAACTTATGAACAACTATAACCGCCTTTGGTCAGATGATACAGTTTAACTTCTCCACACACGGCCACCTTGGGGAAAGACGAAAGTGGCTGTTGTAGAGAGGCGTAAACAAGAGTCAACATATGAACTGTCTGCCAAAAAAAAGTGGCCGTTTGTTGAGAGGTCGCTGTTAGTGAAGGTCCGACTGAAAACATGGTAAAACGCACTTTTGTCCAATGAGGTGCACTAAAAGACAAACAATTCTACTGAATTATAGTAATGTCAATGATATTGCCGTCAGGTGTTTGATGCCTTGTATCATGTACCGGTGGTAAGTTATGTAATACAGTAAGTTTGATTTCACTGTTCCATGATATGTTACTTTTCAGGAAGAAGCAAAAAAGTCCACATACCCAAACGGCACAGATTTTAGCATCCCTGTTAACAGCCAAAAAATCAGAACATTGATGCAGTACAACCCCACCATGTACAACTCTTCAATTCTCTCGCAAGCATATTATCGCTATTATGAAGTAGCTCTCGGCTTTTGGCTGACGCACGGAAACACATCATACAGTAGTGATGATTACTTAACTTACAGTTCGCTTCTTGGTGGAGAGATTGATGCCACCTACGAGCTTCAGAAACCCAGTTTTCAAGGTTTTTAATCTTAATTTCTTTAACAAGTACAGGTTAGAACCTTTTATAATTGAACTACTACCTTTCAATCGGAAAAAAAAGAGTTGTTACGTTGGCTATCAAGAATAGCGTATGAGCTAGAGAACTACAGTAATGTTACATACATCTTCTCTTGTGGTTAAGGGTGTCATGTTCAGCGGTATTTTCTAGTAAGCATGCGTACATATTTTGCTAGGTCTTTTGAGAAATCAGCCATGTTGAAGAACTATAGAAGTTGTTAATTAATCCTGCTACATCGTGGTCTTTAGTAAAGATTTTCACAAACGGGTGCGGTCCTCGAGTCATTTTCAAAATGGAAGTGCAGTAAAAAAAGTCCACGAAAGTAAAATCCTTTTCATTACTCTCACAGTTCTACCTAAAAAAGATGAAGATCATAATCTCTTCTTCCGTTCGTCGCATTTTTAGTCACACAATGTTGATTTCATCTTCCTTGAAATCCACCCTAGGAGTTTTTCAGTTATTGTCGTTATTACGCGTGAATTTAAAAGATCGAGGACTCCCAGGCACTGTTCAGGCTTGGTTTCTGAGAACGAGTACCTGGGTTCCGGCACAAAATCAATGGTGCTGTGTTCAAACCTTGCTACCCGATTTATAACTGTGTACATATATAATTATTTCGCCCTTTTTAGCACTATTTTGAAACGTGGGTGTAGCAGGAAGTTATGGGTATGCAAAGCAGTGGACTGCCTGGGAACTAACAGAAATCGTGTCCACACGGGGTTGTTCCAGACGCGGCACCTACTTTGGTGCCCTTTAGTGCCCGAGTATAAGGCCTCGACGTCATCAGGCTGACGTCATCGCCTGGGCAACAACAGCGTGCCCGAGTTCTGGGGTGGGTTCTTTAAAAAGGGTGTGTTCACATTAGTACATAGCGAGTACCGAACTTGAGCACCTTGTCCGTGTACCAAGTGGGAACGCTGCCTAACACCCTTTCGATGTATAGGCGGCAAGTATGGAAACAACATCTTGTACGCTGCAGTCAAGATTCCTACAACACTAACAGGCGGAAACATAGCATACGATAAAGGACTTCCTGTACATGATGCCTGGGAGGAGTTTGTGAAGACAAAGGTAAGGCGCCATCTTTATACTATCGGATGGTCAGTTGCTTGTTAAAGCATATAACAAGAAAAAATAAGTAACGTTATTGTTATTTTTTGTTTGTTTCTTCTTAATGATATGAGAAAAATGGAAACGTCGAATGACGTTATTTATCCTTAACTAAAGCTATGTTTATGTACAGCCTGTACGTATGGCAGATGCTTAGAGGAGGAAAGGAAACGGTCAATTAAGTCATGAGACTGAAACGCTTTTCTTCTTTATCTCGTGCCTATCGAGTTCTCCCGAGCTTAAATTCCTCTTTTCTTATTTCTTCTTATTCAAACGCCTACCGCGAACGCTCAACCAAATAATACAGTGCAAGTGACATGCAATCAAGTCATTTTTTTTTTCATACCATGTATCAAGTTTGTTCTCTTATATAGAAGGGAACTTCATGACAATCGTCAAAATCTTATCCTTTGTTCACTTCCGTCCGTGCCTACATATATCCTTTTACTGGCCTTATGTGTAGGAGATTGGTCCTAATTGTTTCGTCATTAAGCCGGCGTTATTGCAATTTAACTTGGCGCTGAAATTTTTACCACCCATGACTTTTTCAGATGAGCAGTATGCCAGCATCGTGCAACAGTGCTTTTCAGATCACGCCAGAGTTTAACAATCCATGGCACTGGATTAAAGTGCAGAAGGTTTGTAGAGATCCTGTTCTCTGCAGCTACTAAGTATCAAGTTAAGCTTAAGGAATCCATGTTCATAAAATGGAAGAAACCCGACCTCAACCAGCAGGTGAAACACCTTTGTAGAGATCCTGTTCTCTGCAGCTACTAAGTATCACGTTAAGCTTAAGGAATCCATGTTCATAAAATGGGAGAAAGCCGACCTTCACCAGCAGGTGAAACACATAAACTTGACTCTCTCTCTCTCTCTTTCCCCCTTTAACTTCACTGATTTAAACTTTTAAAAAACGCAATATTGTCAACACAATGTAACGAACTTTGTAACATCGCGCGCGATTTAAATACAACGGCGATTACACGATATGTAACAATGTTGTAAAACTGAAGATGACGGATGTACTGTCGAAACAAATTAAAGTTGTTTTGTTTATGCGGCTGTTTGTAGAGTCAATATTTGGGCTTCTCCTAGAAACTAAGGGTCCGTTTCATTAGTGAAAAATATTCCGAAGGAGATTGCTCAATGACATTTAACCTCCTTTTTTCTATATTACACAGATTCTGGTCCAAAGTGCTGTGAATGGGATTGTTATGGGTCTTTGTTTTGCCGCACCGCTACTCATAGTTATGACAACAAACTGGATTGTAGCATTATTGTGCTGCATGACAATTTGTCTCATCACTTTAGGGGTGGTTGGTATAATCCCAATGGCCGGATGGAAGCTTGGAATGCTTGAGTCACTCAACCTGACTCTGGTTGTTGGTTTAGCTGTTGATTACGTCGTACACCTTGCAGATGGTTACGTTCGTTCCCAGAAGCACTCACGCAAAGACAAGGTGCGCGAGACTCTGGGTCACGTGGGCATCTCTGTGTTGTCGGGCGCATGCACAACAGTAGGGGCATCAATTTTCATGCTTTTCGCTAAAATCGTGTTCTTTTTTCAATTTGGTGTCTTTATTTTCTGCACCATCGGGCTTTCAATACTTTCTGCGCTGTTTTTCTTTACAACTGTGCTTGCGCTAATGGGGCCTGAAGGCAACAGAGGCTCTATCTTGCCGCTAGTGCAATGGATCAAGGACAAACTCCGCAACAAGAAACCAACTGATGTCACTTGCCAGAAATGTGACGGACGAGGATTTTATGCCCCTCACCCTCCCCCAGCATCGAGCCTTGTTACTTTTGAACATCCTATTCCTACATAGATCAATTGGCTCAGTGGGATCCGAATTAATTTCTAACAAGAGCCATAATGGCTCTTGTTTCTAAACGTAAAGATTGTATATGGATGTATCATTTCCACAATATCAGAAAAAAAACCTGGAACACTTGGGACGTTCGTAAGCCCCAGACCAACCAGGCATACCCAGCAAATAGGTTAAAAGACAAATGACGAACAAAAACCCTGATATTCTGTAAAGTTTTCAGGAAATACTTTTGTTTTGTTTTTTTAAATTTAATTAACTTATTGATAAGTGTTGGGGGGTATTCCGTCAGTGTTCCTGGTTTAAGTACGCTCGGCCTGAATCGGCAAGGTAAAACTAGAACCTCTGCTACAATAGGCTCTGTACATTGCAGCAATGAATCAGGGATCAATTTGATTTCTTCAGTGAGTGATTTCAAGGACTTCTAAGTGAATTCATGCTAAGTTCAAGTTATTATTTATCATTAAAGTCCCATTGGTCCTATTTTGAGGGTTTCTGCGCAGCACGGAAAGTTGTGTAAAATACAAGGGTGTGTTAACCTGAGATCAGGCTCTATCTTAGATTCGCTTTGTAACTAACATTTTAGCGTGACCACGTAAGAGAGAATGTATGAGAAATGCTAAAATTGGGCCTGATCTCAGGTTAAGGGTGTGTAAAAAAACTTAACACTGCCAGGACTTCCTATATTAAAGCCATGGGTGACAAATAATGTAGGTTTCCGATTTTTTTATTGTGTTGAGAGTTCCAAATATTAGGGGCACCCAACGTCAATTTTCGGAAAATATCTGTTCGGAAGACCGTGATTTGAGATCTAGAATTTTCGGAACATTTGTTGTAAAATTTCTTGCTTGCCTGCCTCTCCTAGGATTTTCGAACATCTAAAAATGGTATAATTGCCCATTTTTAACGGATTTTGACCCTAAAAAGGTCACCTAGAATTTTCGGGACCCTTTTTTCTGGCTGAAATTTTCGAAAAGGTAAGTTTTCATCCCTATAATTTTCGGATCACTAGACTTTCAGCTAGGAAATTCGAACAGATTAAAATTTTTTAGGGGATAAAAATATGCCTATATCTACCGCTTAAATACTAAAATACGTTTAACAATGCTATGTTTAAGTGGTTTTGAACTATATTCTCGTTGGGTCCCCCTGAAACATTGGAAAGAATACATATAGATTGTTTAAAGGATGTTTTCCAGGGCATATTTTTAGTAAACAGTTGATCTGTATACATCACATAATTTATTACTTAGCCTTGTTATTTAGCTAATTGTGGTAGTTCAAATTTAATGTTATATTTCTTTACTATCTTTAAGTATAGCGGACTAGATTTGCCAGTTTCCCGCCTAGTGAGATTAGCCCTGCTCTGATTTGCAAGTAGAGTAATATAGTAAATATTTCACCTTGTAATGTTGTAAAACCTGAACTATGATTATGGCGTCATGAAGACGGCGAAACTTCGGGTTTTTAAATTCATATTGGTTTAAGTTCCTAATATTCTGGATTGTTCGACAACACTGAGCCCAATAGAATCTAGACTTGCCACAAGTCGACTGTGTGAGCGCCGAAGGCTCGAAGGACGCTCTCGAAGCAAGCGAAAGCGAGTCTACATAGAATCGTTCTTCTATAATATAACTGGCTCTTTCGTTATCCTGCAGCGTTTTTTTAATGCATGCATTTTAATATCTTCGTGAGAAATTCTGAATTAGCGCTGTAATTTCGTGCCAAAATTAAGGAGAAATTTGTCATCCATGATATTAACTTTGTAATTAAAGTCACGATGTGACTGTAGTCAATGTATTCCTGTCCCCTAAACATTTCTGCCTGGTCCTTGTAAATAAAAGCATTATTTCATGGAAATAATAGAATTTGTAGGCCTTCTGACCTCATTCTGGAATGGGAACACACATTATGGATTATTCCATAATAACCTTTATCAAAAAAACGATTTCTCCGTTGTCAGAATAGTGACCGCGTTTTTCTGGTATTTGTTTTGAACATTAATGGTTCAGGAATATTATCACAATTTAACAGCCAACGTTGTTAAGAGCCAAGATATTGAAATTCTGCTAGAAGACTGAACACGGAGGAATTTTATCCTATGGACGATTGTTTGACTTTGCTTATCCTTATCCTCTCTTGATTTAGAAGAATATTTTATTCAAAGGGCATTGGGAAGCTGTTTACATTAGACTCATTGAGGTCTCTGAGAGCTTAGAAATTCACGGACAAATTTTCTCGCTTCTTGTATGTCAGGAGATATGCTTAAGAGTTTCTTCTCTGATCAGTAATAATGTTTTCCTACTGAGTGTCTTACGTCTCTCGTTTAAATATCGTGTATTTCACCAAGGAAATATGCCTTTTTTTGAAAGAACTTGCCGCAACGCGATCGAGGAAACTGCCTGTGATCCACCACTACTGATTCACCTACCCTTGGACCAGGAACAGTTGTTTATTACTATATGTGTTCTTTTTCCACAATCAAATCAACCGAATGCAACCTTATAGTAATTCCTTACTATCCACTGCCTGTCAGGTTAACCAGGCTCATTCCAGACCTCTCGCCAAGGCCAATACTGAAAACTATGAAGAATTGTTTGGGGTTTTACTAAAAAATGTCGAAATCTGTAGAAGAAATTCAGAAAGTTGTTCATCCCATGTTCTTCCAGGAATTAGAAAAGTGAATACGAAACCCTTGAGGGAACCATTGGTTACGCAGAAACCCTGAAAGATGGCGATTTAGAGTACTTTTAGTCAATGAGAAGAAATTTTGACACAGGCTTTCCAAAGCCATGCTCATTTACATGTTTTCTCTCTCTGGACAAGACTAGGGTCTGAAAATTACAGGGTAAGAACTGTCTCGTCCTTCCGTGTATCTGTGTTCCTCTCTTCTGTTTAGCTGCAAATTTGTGAAGTAATGTTGCCCTTGATGATCCTAATTACTTCATTGCTATTTCAAGCTATTTAAAATATTATGGGAAATATTGATGTACTTTTAGCTGCAAAAGAATAAAAAATGAGATTCAGCGCAAGTTGTGGTTGCTTAAGTAGAAAAGTTAGCATTTCACTTCTTAAAAAGTTATACTATAGATAACATGTTGCTGAAATAGTAGAAAAAACCTTTCGCTTCTCTTATTTCCGGCAATGGCTTGCTTCGATTAATTCCTGTTTTGTGGGACTTCTCAAGCCTTCTCATTTATACATTGCATTGCTTTAGGCAATTTAATACACATAATAGTTAGTTGTAAGTTAGTTACAAGAATAATCATTCCTCAATTGTTTATGGAAAAATGAAAACATACGGTACATTACTTTATCCAGTCACTTGAGAGGACTATTTTACTACTTTCATCGGGGAAGTTTGTCTCGTATTTGTCTCGTTTGTCTCGAGAAAAAGTGTCGTTAAAAAGGCATTAAAAGGTTCAAGTTCTAGCCAAATTATATTAAAAAGCATTCAAAGAGAGTAACTGTGTTTTGGTCACGTGACCCCGGGGGGAGGGGGGACTCCGCATATGAAAGGGGTGGGGATGCTCGTTGGAAATTTTGAATTAAACCCCTAAAAGAGACCGATCTGGGCGTCGCCCACGCTATTTTTGATCCCTAAAGAGACCATGTTAAAACACAGACAAATGAGAAAACTTGGATTATATGAATGCAGTAAATAAAACGAATTAAAAATACACATGCCCAGAACACCCTAAATGAGACCAAAATCCGCAATTTACACCCCTAAGCGAGACGACGAGCTTCCCCACCAGGGCGGATAAAGGTTGGGCGGTGAAATGAGCGCTCCGCTCTTCATTTAATGTGTGATGCGGAGTAGGACTGGCACGAGCGCTATTTCCGCGCTTCCGGTGCGCTTGAAGGCCGGCGAAATTTTCCTTTTTGCAAACCGGAAATCCTATTTTCTTTCTGTAATTTCAGGCTAAAGTGTTAAATAGATAAATTCGTTTCATAACAATATCAATAAACAGTTTCATATGTTTGTGTCTTTGCGTCCATTAGTCAAACTTGTTGGTCGTATAATGCCAAAATTTGAGTTTAATTTGAAAGTGTTGAATACCTCCTCCTTCCACTAAATATCATCTAATCGTCTTTCGCCGTTTCGTTTGCAAAAGCTTAACACTTCTTAACCTCAAATGTTACATATGTTAAAGGGGGAAAAACTTTATATAACATAACAAAAAAATTAGATTGATATATATTGATATAGTGGCGTTGTACTTCTTCAAACTTTGCTACTCGGGTGCAACGCGCCATGGCCATTCGCGCAATGCGTTGCAAATCCGGCAGCCGCATGTAAACAAAATTTATTGAGGTTAGTTGTCAGGTTTTTTCTCCGTTTTTCTCTCTAAAACAAAACAAGGTAAACAGTAAAAACTGAGGGGAAACTAATTTTGAAGTTTCGAAGAAACAGAAAGACGTATGAAATGTTTTTTCAAAATTAAAAAGAGGGATGATGGTGACTGAAATTAGCATAATTTCACCTTGCACGAGCTGCACGCATTTATAAAATACACGTCATCTAGTTATGAAACACGATCTGCTGTCTTTTAGTTTTGCCATGGATGACATGGATGAGATTTTCCTACGTGTTTTAGACAGTACTTGGTTGTTTTCGTTTTGGAAAAACATCGAAATTGGCGGGTAGCAGAACGAAAAAATTATTCAGCGGTAGAGTCATGGAAGTAATAAAAGAAACCCTTTGAAAGAGATGTTTGTCTACTCCAAATAAACCTCCCCCAAAAAATAGCAACATTTGCCTCTCGGAGACAGCGTACGAGTAGAAAGGAACGAGGAAGAAGTGCAAGAAAACAAATCAAGCCGCCATAATTCAGTGACAGCGGCAGTGTCTAATGTACAAACCACATCCAAGCCCTGGCCGAAGTCGAAAACAAGCGACATTTCTAAGCAGAGTCCCGGTCCACTGCATCACACCTTTTTGCTCGGACGCGCTCGTTTCACCGCCCAACCTTTATCCGCCCTGTTCCCCACCACTTTCATATGCGGAGTTTCCCCCCGGGCACGTGACTGACTTGTCTGGAGGCGGGGAGAGGGCGGGACCGCGAAACAATGAAATTTAGCTTGCGACTGTTGAATTCTGGGAGAAGCAAAATGGCGGATACAAATGCACTCCTTTTGTTGTCAATTGTACGTAGCGTTTTCGTTTGAAGATCTCCTTTTAAATGGAAATTTCTGAGATAATAATGGAAGCGTTTACACTTGGTACTGCCATCAGTTTAAACATGACGCATAATGTTTCCTTTTATGCTGAGAGCGTAAACGCTGCCGCGTGGAACAGAGCGAGGTTGGTTGAAGCTAATAAACTTTATAGTTGTTTCTGCTGGTGCATAAATGCACCCATGAAATCAACCCGACTGGAAAGTTTCCAAAGAGACCATGGAAAGAGAGTAAAGTTCACTAACGAAGGAAGTATTTGGAAGTATTGGTGTTTTGTTTGACTGAGACAGGAAAGGAGCAATGCCGTAAAATTCCGAAAATAAGCCCCGGGGCTTTTATTTTTCAAAGACCATTTTTGAGGCGCTTATTTTCGGAGGGGCTTATGTACGGAGGGAAATTTGCGTTTAAAAATCGATTGGGCTAGCCTTCTTCTTGGAAGGAAATTTACCGTTTTTCTCTGTTTTACTTTGTATTTGACGGAAATTTCCAAGTACAAGCCCCCCGGGGGGGCTTATATTTGGAGGGGCGATTTAACGAAGGTTTTTTGCGTTACAATTTTTGGGGGCTTATATTTGGAGGGGCTTATACATGGAGGGGCCTATTTTTGGAATTTTATGGTATACGGCGAGAACTACCAACATTATATTTTGAATTCAACTGGAAAAATAACCTCTTTGCCAAACGTGTGAGGACAAACATTGGCAGAGTAACTGCCAAGACATACAGTGGGGATCGTCATTTCCATAATGTGCGATATTTTAATATTTTAAATGCTTTAAATTAACTACTGCTATGTTTGTTGTCAAATTGTGAAAAAAGACACTTCAATATAAAGTTTACCAGCTTACAGTATTTTACAGAGATGTATTGAAATACTTTACTTTTAGTGGCTTTATTTTTTGGAAAAAGAAATGCAGAAACCATTGATCTTTTGTCCCTTATATTGTAAAATAATGCATTTTAAGGCTAAGAGGAAATTTACTCTTCTAACCCAGATTATGTTAATGTAATACTAAATCAACACCCTTGATATTAGCCTGTGCCACAGATGGAACTCTGGGTGAAGTCCGTCTGCAAAACAGCGGCAAAATCCTAGTTCTGGGCCCCCTGTGTGTGGATCAGGATTTGAGTACATGCCAGGACTGGACTATTAAAAATGCCATTGTCCATTTGTCAATCATGTTGAAGGGAAACTCAAAATGCTGGTAATTCATTGACTATGTTGGGGCCCAGAACAAGGATATTAGTACCCTGTGAGCTGTGGTTTCTCCAGGCCGGTCGCTACGCTACGAAGGGAGAAACCACTGCTCACAGGGTAGGATATTAGTGCTGCTTCGCAATGTTACTAACCAGGGTTAGAATACATCTGCAACACAAGCTAGCATTACTATTTTAGTTTTTTATTTGAGATTGTTGAAAATTTGGAATACTAACGTAGATGTCTTCGAGACTGAATTAACTTATGCTATGACATTGTGTCCCCAGAGAAGTGGTCTTACCAGTAGATTTCAATTTTGTACATGTTGTAGTTAATATTTATTTCAGTTGATTTTTATTTTTCCATTGTTTCCAGGTATGGTTATGTATGCTAATGAATTTAAAACAAAGGAAAACCAAAAATTAACTGAAAGCCTAAAGTCACCTTGAATCGCCTTAAGTTACCTAAAATTACAGCGACTTAAGTACCCAGAGTAGGCCTAAAGCCTGGTTGCCGCATAATCGTCTCGATACATACAGACACTACTTGAGACTTCTCAAAAGTGGTCAAGCAATAGAAATGATCATAGAATACTTCTGATGCAACACAGGGTGATTCAATAAGCCCCGAAAAACTGACCGCGGAAACTACCCAGACAATTACACAGTTTTGATTGGGATGCGATGTGGAATATAAAAAAAGCTTTTAATCGGTAGCAGTTAAGTAAAAACTGAGCCTAAATAGATCATCCAAGGATGGCTAATGTCACCTCGGTCACGGATGAATTCTGTTAGCGAGCGGGTGTAGTTTTATTTTAGTTGAATTGTGTCAATATGCGAGAAAAAAATGAGAAGAACTCAATTAAAAAAAACAGTTTCCAAAAACAATCGTAATTTCTTTGTCATATATGTTGTGGTTAAATTTTATCCTTGGTTTAAATGTTATTTTCTTTTGTGTTGGGGCATGCATGGTAATGTATGATAATGAGTTTGAAACAAAAGAAAACAAAATTTAAACCAAGGATAAAATTGAACACGACATATATTTTTCTGGTTAGTTAATTAAAATCAGCCTAGCAGAAAATGGATTACCTAGCAGAAAATGGATTAACATTAAGTTTGACTGACCTTTCACTGAGCTCCACCGCAGACATTGCTTAAACACTACACTGTAAAGGTAGATAACAACGAAAGCAAAATATGGTTCGAAATTCTACACGTCAGAAGCAATGCTACAAAAAAATGACTTTCCCGATATTGCCAACAGGTTTGGTTTAATTTCTAAACAAAGAAGAGTGTTGATATTTTTGTACCTCCATGTGACACGCAAACCATTGTCTATTGAATTGAAGACAGCAAAAGACTTTGATCTACATAGATTAGGTGTTAAACGACAGACTGGAAAAATAAATTGTTATTTTGACTAAACTTCTACCTTTCTGCAAAGGCAATACCAGGATCGAGCTTTTTCAAGTAAATTACAAAGTATTCTCGAAACAAGTTCCTTTTCTAACATCACTTCTAAAACTTTCTTTAATTATTCGCGAAAGCAGGTGCTAAAGCCTTAGCAATTAATCTATAAAATAAGCTGTTTATAAAGTTTAGTTTTTGATACAGCATTGTTGTCTCTTCCCTTTCGAAAAGCCTTCCTTGTCAATCATGCTCTCTAGGCATCTTTCAGTTTCTGTCACAAAATTACCATAGGCTATTAGCGATGCCTTTTAGCGATGTGTAAGCTGGAGACAACTTATTGCCCACTCTGCTGGAAAGATCTAGGAGCTTTGAGAACACGAGATGACTAGACTCCCCGGTGGCATCGGACAATCGCTGCCAAACACCTGTCTATCGGCTTAGCTGAACAAAGGAAGTTGTGCTGCGACAAACCGCTGACGCAGTCATTTGCATACAAAAACAGGCCTACACAAGCAATTATGTAAATACTTCTTCGCCAATAGAAAGGAAAAAACAAAAAATCAGGGACGAAGAAGACAGATATAAACTGGTGGCATATATTTGACCATGTGTTTTCCGGCTCATCAAATTTCTGTATTAATGAAGAGTTCAAAATAGTCGGGCTCGTATCATGGCCGCATGGATCTTTCGATTTCTAGTTAAAAGGCCAAAACTATGTTTCGGTAAGAAATCTTCTTACTATGTTTTTTCGGTGTGTGTGTGTATGTGTGTGAATCTATCTTGTTTAATACACATGTCAATAATTTTCTTGTCTTTTGAATTCTACCGGTAGGTATAACGCTTGGAGCGCATTTCATCTTATTATTGGTAACTGGTTCGTTGTATCTCTCTGGTTATGACATCTTGCCGGCCGATTTTACCCAAGTTCCTTTGAATCTCGAGGATGATGTGACTAAACTTCGTGCGGATGCATGGAAATTCGCCCGGCAAGATTCGCGAGTGAACATCAACCCGACTTCCGTGGGAATTCAGCCCGAACGTAGTATCCAGTATGACGCTCTTGAACTTATGTACGAAGCCGAAGAAGGCAACACGTTCACCAAGGAGAATCTAAAATTAATTCGAGACGCAGAATTTGAAATCTTTAACAATTCAATTTATCAACAACGCCTTTGTCAAATCGCAGAATACGGTCTTTGTAAGTTCCCACTGTCAATCATTCGCTTTTTTGATGGCAGTTATAGATCTATTCATAGAGATTTATTTGATCCAAACTTTGAAAATATTACAGCAATTCTAACCCTGGCTAACTCAATCAACGTGACGAGGGCGATTCTCGACTTCCATTTAGACAAGCAAGCGGTCATCGCAGACCCTACTAAAGGCCACATACCAGTGAAATCGAAATATACTAGATCGTTATTTTACATTGGGTATCCACTAAAGGGATTCCACAACATCGAAGATCGTGTTGATGATCAGTGGGAAAATGCCCAGTCATTCGCAAGCGAGGCTTTTGCAGAACTGCTAGACAAGAAATTCAAACAAGGGATCGGCGACATGAAATTTTATTATTTTTTGACAGCTTTATTTTTTAATGCCATTTCTCAGCAGGTTATTTATGATCTTCTTCTGGCCGGTGCAAGCTTTACTTTTATTTTCCTCTTCATGTTATTTCAAACTCAGTCTCTCTGGATCACCGGCTGGGCGGTGTTTAGTATACTTACTTGCTTCTTTGGTGCCAATTTGATCTATCGTGTTCTCCTGGACTGTCGCTATATCGGCATTTTCCACGTTCTTTCGGTGTTTATAATCCTGGGTATTGGTGCGGACGATGTGTTTGTATTCATTGACGCATGGAAAGCTTCAGAATCTAACTCATTTAGGGATCTTTCATCAAGGCTTTCTTTTGTGTATCGGCGAGCAGCAAGCGCCATGTTCACGACTTCTTTCACTACAATAGTGGCTTTCATCACCAGTGTCTTCTCCCCCTTATTGGGTGTGTCCACATTCGGCATATTCTCAGCGCTACTAGTTTTTGTAAACTACTGCTCTGTTATTATTTTTTTCCCTACTGTCATTATAACATATGAATACTACTGGAAGGACTATCGTTGGCATTGTTTTGGAGATTTAAAGGCGTGGCAAGCTATAACCTCGCGCCGGGACGACATTGTACAGGGCGACCAGGGTGAGGAGCGGGAAGGAGAGCGAGAAAAATTCGTGGAACCGAGCAAACATGTTAGCGAGTTTCTGGAGGGGAGATTCTTTGACCATTTTATCGGACATCGAACAATACGATGGATCACCATGGGAATATTCCTGATTTTTCTTTGTGTGTCGATTGGATTTGCGACACAACTTGCTCCTGACGAAGAACCGGCAAGTTAACTATTTTTTATGCTCTGTAATGATAATTAAGATGGCAACTTACCATGTACAAACAAAACATTTTAATGATTTTCACAGATTTTACGGGCCGATCTTGTTTGCTTCCAATTAGGTAACACGGCGCGAAAAACTTTACACGCTCTCAACTTTTTTTAAACATATTTTTTTTCATCCTGTTTCAGTTCAAAGGCTTTCGTTTAGCAGTTTAAATTAAAAAATATTGTCAATTTGGGACTTCTGCCTAAATTACTTTCCGCATCCTGTTTCATAAAAAACTGTCCTTTTGAGACAGTTTCACAAAAATATCCATTGTTGTTGACAGTAAATTTTGTTGATAAAGTTTTCACCTGTAATCTCCAAGCCAAAAAAACTTCCTAAATGAACGAATGACATTAACAGGTTTGATGGCACACAAACATGTCGTAACGCCCGAAATTGATGTAAGCAACTCTTGACTTTGGTTGATCAAACGTAATGTTTTGTTTATTTTTTGTTTGTTTTTTTTACTACCGTGAGCAGTAACAACTTCCTTACTTCAATCTGTTTCCAGTTGTCCAGATTGAAAACCGAAACGTTAATTTCAGGACGATTATGGCATAAATTAATGATGCTATTTTGGCGTATCAAGATGGAATTAACCATCAAGTCATCCAATGCGGAGAAACAACATGCTGTATGTTTTGCAGTGATTTCATCAAGCCGACTTAGCCAAAGATAAGCAAGCTATTTGAATCACACAGCTTTCTATTTGTTGATTTTTTCTCACGCTTATATTTTCCATGCATTTGAAATGCATTTTGCGATACTAAATGTTTGTATTTTATTTCCCTGAGAAATGTTTGTATTATTTGCCAGTGAGACGAAGGTTGTATCAAAATTGGCCACAAATCCTGTGGTCATAAAGCCGAAAACAATTTTACTTTGCGACAAATTTCAGTTTTTCTGTTAAATCATGTGTAATGAAGCAAAAACCTACATTAAGCATTGAAATTAAAATTATGTATATGTCTTGATAATTATCCATTTATAGAAGTACATTTACTGTTCTCAAGACAGCTGGTCACCCTGGCAAAAACAAAAGTTATTCCAACCCAAATGACGAAATTCTATTCATATTTGGTAACTTTAAACCCATCAATCATACTTAGGTATCCAGGTGGTGTGTTGGATAAAGAAGCAAAATGTATTAAAGGCAAAGATAATCGTTTTTGTAAACAATCTCTTTTGTTATGGTTCCAATAGTTTTCATGAATTATTCAAATGAGCCTTTCAGTTTGTTTTCTTTTTATCTTGACAATTAAATGAAGAAAACGGAAGGCTGAATATCATTTACTTCTGGCTTTTAAACTCAGCCAAGTTCTTTTATGTCAGTACTACTAAGTTTTGTTTGGTACAAAATCGCATTGATCAATGGAGCAGGCGAAGCAACGGAGTGATATTAGAAGAACTTAGCAATTTATACTGAGTTACCATGAAGCTTTTTTTTTGGGGGGGGGGGGTGGCTGGTGGAAGGTCATGTGACTGTTTTCATTGTGTAACTCATTATTTTCCCTGTTTAGGTGGACGTTTGGGGACCAGGCACCAACTGGTACAATATAAAGCTCTTAAGACGCTCAGCATTTCGGCCAAGTCAGGAAGATGACGTTGTTGAAGTTAACATCATTTGGGGACTAAAGAAACAAGATCGCAGTTCCTGTCACTTTACAGATTTCAAATGTAAAGGAAGGACTGTATTTGATACCACCTTTGATCTCAATCCCAAAGAATGTCAAGAAGCCTTGCTGGTAAGTTAAAGGCAACTTTTCCTACCACTTGAATTTGAAGAAGCTAAATTTATATCAAATGCAAGGCTGATCAAACGAAAGTAAAATATCCCTCCATGGCTAATCGATCAGTCTTGCATTTAGTTAAAAGCTTTATTCTAAATCAGATGATCCTGGTCTACACCAAGATCCAGATTCTCTTCGCTAGTCCGGCGCTACTGCTTTTCCGAGTGGTCCTCGCAAGATTTTACTCAACTGAAGAAACGGTTACTAAAGCGGGGAGGCGCAGAACTGGAAACTAAAAAAATGGAAACAAAACAGAGAATTGGAAATGAAGTCACTGACCTCACTGATAGGGCTAGGGTTCATTAGCTAGGTTTTCTTCTCATTTTTCATTTCCCTATTCCGAGTTCTCATTCCCTGCTCCTTGTTCCCCGTTTTAATAACGTGCCTGAAGAAACTAATGATTTAGTTGGGGTTTTTTTCTGCGCCCCACCCCAGCTCTCATTTAGCAGAAGTGTGAATAACAAGCTGACCAATAATTAACATAACAAGCTAAATTTTTAATCTTCTGCCAACTTCGAAGGATTTTTGCCAAGAATTGAGAAGTTTGCCAGACCACCAAATCAGCAACCTGAGAATTCGACGCAATGCTGTCAACGGAGAGCCAGAAATTCAATGTTTTATGGAGAAACTGAAAGATTATCTGCAGGTAAACATCAGTTTCATTCTCTTAAAAGTCGAAAATGTTAGTCCAGCCTCGCATATAGTCAAGACCGACCGATTGACAAGGAGTCTTTTTTAGACAGTTTTCCATGTTCTCTTACTCATATTATTGGTGGGGAATTGGAGGGTGTAGCCATGGTAACATCATAAGGAAGATACAGGGAAAAAATTGTGGGTGAGAAAGAAAAAGCAGTGAAAGAGGAAGCCGAGAAAACAATGTAGTCGCTGTAAAAATCGTAACAGATCAGGAATAAGTAAGCTTAATTAGTAGTCTACTTTAACATACTCTCGTTGTTGTTAAATGGAAGCATTCAGTGTGGCGCAGTGGTAAAAACAATCTTTTCGTAGAAATGTGGAATGTAATTCGTACATCTTGATGTTTGTATAAGGGTTGAGTTTATTTTTGTTAACCACGGCAGGATTAGCTCAGTCGGTAGAGTGCTTGACTGCAGCGGAAGATCGCGGGTTCGATTGCCGGGGCCGGACCAATACTCAGAGTCTTAAAATAACTGGCCTTCGCGTGGCTCGGATGACCACGTAAAATGGCAGTCCTGTCTCCAGTTGGAGACTTAAAAATAGTGTCCCCAATTAGTACTTTCGTGCTAAATACCTTGACACTAAAAGAAAGTGCATTTTTTTCCTTTTTTGTGTGTGTGTTGCCCTTTCGTTGTCCCGCAAGTTTTCCCTCTTTTCTTTAAAAACAAACATTTCCAAATTCCTGTTCGACCTGTAACGCAAGAACATTTGTTTAGCGACTCTTTATTTACTTTGTTGGTGATAAATTAATAATTATGTATTTTTTGTGTGTGCTCCTTCATACGTTATTTCATTGATTTTAACCATATTTTACTTTACAGACAGAAGCCAGTAAGCCAAAATATGCCAATACCACTTCTCCCACAGTGCCTTCTGATGAAGAGGACGCACGTCTACTAATGGCGCGAAACCCGCAGCTTTTTAACATCACACTCGTGGGTAACAAGTACAACAGATACTTTGAAGTGATGCTGGGATACTGGTTAACAAATGCCAATCAATCTCTGACGTCAGATGATTATCACACCTACGGTGCCCTGCTGGGTGGGTCAATGGACCCCACCGACCCCTCCAAAATGCCAAACTATCAAGGTCAACGCGTAACTTCTTATACTAGTTATTAAGAGAAAATAAACACTGATTAACAATAAGTTACTGTTCTTTGATTCAATGACCTTGAACTGCGCAGTTACGGTTGATCAGGCCGTAAGTGCAATTCGCAGTCAACCAGCATCGGAGGTAAATTAGCATTATATCCTCGGTAGTTGCCATAACACCTCATATGCTCTGTTTGTAGTTAAAGCGGGATTAAAGCTAGTCCAAACATTGTCACAATTTTTTTAGGTATTACTTTGCTGACGAAATCATACAAATATTGATACTATGTAGAATTGGAACTCTCCCGCAGGTGGCAAGTATGGAAACAGATTATTATTCGCTTCAATTGCTGTAAACACCACCATGGTACTCAGCAAGACAGGACAAACAGAAGGTCTGAAAGTTTATGATCACTGGGAAAAGTTTGTTCGGCAAAGGGTATGTACCATTGATTTGGCTTGTCGGTCTTTACTGGTCGGTAGAAAAAAGTTTTCTTCCTTAATTTGCAACAAAATCATGAAAAATGATCCCCGAAACACTGTCAATTGAAACGTAAACAAACTCCAAGTAAGTTACGTCTTTTGTTTACAAAAAGTTCCTTTTTTAATTTTTATCCTCTGATTTGGTAAATACTAAAACAACTATCCCCCTCAGGATCGGTTCATAGCGCGAGATATATACACCACTATTCAACTCCCCTTAGGTGGATAGTTGTATAATATTCCTACATAGTTGAAATAGAGTCCATTGAGTTATATACAGCACGTAATTTACACATGTATCGGGCACATATATTTCGCGCACTTAATTTTTTTGTACATGATATGCCGACCACCAAACAGATCTATTGAAATCTTAAATTCAATATTCTTTCTAACCGAACATTTTGTATTCTTATATGTTTACCCAGATTGCGAAGATGCCTGCCTCATGTAACAATGCATTTCAAGCCACTCCCAATGGTCATAACGCTTGGCATTGGCTCAAAGTCAAAAAGGTTCGTAGTGATTTAACTTGAGAACGTTTCTCTACAAAAATCAGTCAACCAATCCTTAAAAGAGCTTGAGAACGTTTCTCTACAAAAATCAGTCAACCAATCCTTAAAAGAGGGCTGGCCAGAAAACGCACTTTGCCGAGGGTTTTTAGATTACCTCTTATGGCATTTAAAATGTTTTCTTACTGGGTTGGTTGCACTAGAAATGTGGAAAAGGGAGACCAAGTAAAATGTAGCATTGAAACAGTTTATTTTTTAAAAACACCAAAAAGTTTTGATAAAAGAAAGACGTCATTTTGCTCACATCACTGAGTCGTCTTCCCTTCATTTTTATTCTCTCACCAGGTCCTCGCGTCCACTGCAGTGCGAGGTATCCTATTGGGACTGGGACTGGCCATCTCGTTGCTGGTATTTATGACGTCAAACTGGATAGTGGGTCTGCTGTGCGGAGCCATTATTTCATGCATCACTGTGGGTGTAGTTGGAGTCATACCACTAGCTGGGTGGAAGCTGGGAGTCCTCGAGTCTCTAAATCTTACGCTGGTAGTCGGACTTGCTGTTGACTACGTAGTTCACCTTGCTGACGGTTATGTGCGATCCCAGAAACAATCGCGCAGGGACAAAGTCCGTGAAACTTTAAGTCACGTGGGTATTTCGGTGCTTTCTGGCGCTAGTACCACTCTGGGAGCCTCTGTATTCATGTTAGCTGCTAAAATCCTCTTCTTCTTTCAGTTCGGCATTTTCATGTTTTGTACTATCGGTCTTTCAATCATTTACGCTTTAATCCTTTTCACTACCACACTGGGGATCTTTGGTCCTGAAGGAAACACAGGATCACTGGAGCCATTCTATGATTGGTGCAAGAGAAAGGTTGGGGAGCCTGTGGAAGAGGAGATTCCTTGCGAAGAAATGGCTGGTCCTAGTTGCCGATCTCCCTCCGAGAGTCCAACAATTAAGGCCACGCTTTTATGACAGCTGCTAAATACATGACTGCGTAAAATTTTCTTCAGAACAGGAGCACTGAGTTAATCTTTGAAATCTTGCCTTGCTCTTGTAAAAAAATCCTCATAACATAGATTAGAGTAGTATGGTGTCTAGAGTGAGTGAATAACTCCAATAGGAAATAATGGAACCCAAGAAACCTGTTGTATGGAACGCAATGAGTTACATATCAAACAGTTTAGTGAGGTGAAAGTACCATATGATAGGATAAATTTAAAAACTAAGAGTAACTATCTCTTGAGGCCTACAGAGTCGCTCCCTTACTACTTTGAGCTATGTCATTGGTTTCACAACCGTAAAAAGTTTCGCGTTGTTACTAATTTGGTCAAGTATTACAATGAAAATGAAATTATTACCTAAACAAAACTGAAACCAAACAAACAAGACAGAAAATAAACGCGAGTTTACAAACTCTCAGTTATTCCATGGATACCAAAAGGGAACATTGTAACATTATGCAATCACAGCCAACCGCACCCCTCCCCCCTCCCTTCCCTGTTTTCAATACAAACAACAAGACTGGAATAAAACTATCCAAAGATTTTTCTGAAGGAAAAGATTGTTTATGAACATTTACTCTGCAGCGAAAAGTGTGTGGAATGGAAAAGATGGGGCAATTACCATGAGGATAAAATGATAATAACCAAGTTTGTCAATAGTTTGGAATAAAGTGTATAAAAGTACAAGCTATTTTTAAGCCAAAATCGTTCTAAAAATAAACCGGTCTCTGAAAACGCCATGACATTCGCTTTAGGTTATGGGCTCCTAGAAGCACAAAGAGAACGTAGAAAAGATGTTTACAACTTTGAACCAAGGTGAAGAAATAGTATAGAGTAAAAGGTAATTATAATCTGAATATAATGTAGCTTCTACCGTATTCTCAAAGAGTTTTGAAGGTGTTCAGCAATCACCCTTTCAGCTTTGGATCATTTTAAAATTTATTTACAATATGAAATACAATAAAGCTACTCGTTTCTCAAGAAAACTAGTCGAGGTTCATCTTAACTTATAACCTTTATTTTCGCCCAGCAAGTCTCCTTAGTCTGTTCACATTTTGACATATAAATAAAAACGATGGATGTTAGAGTGCATCAAAACAATTCGTTAAAACGTTCTTCGATGTATTTCATCTCAAAATAAATACATGTAGTTTCTAACCAGTTTCGCCAAGAAAATGATACAGAAATCAGAGACTTTTAAGAGGTTTGAAAGAGAGAACTGGTAAGTCATTAAACTAGAAATAGCATGCAAGGGTATGAACTAAGACTCAGAAGTCTGGGTGCAGGAAAGGGATCGCTTGTGTGTAGATTGAATGAAGCAACGTCAGGGCACAAGGCTACGCTGTTACGCTGACAACGGTCTATAAGAGTCAAAACGAAAACACCCTGCTACCTCATGCGCCAGAGGATTTTTCCGACTGAAAATCACACCTCGACAATTAATCGCTGTGTATTATGGACTTTATTAACCTCTAGAGACTCTGGGAATGAAACACACAAATAAGATTCAAAAGCTGACAAGTCCTTCTTCGGAACATTGTTGGTTGTGTGTAGTTTATGTATCGAATCGTGGTGTTACACTGTAGTGGGGAATATCAAGACGTGAAAAACAAGAATAAATGACATGAATTAAATATAAATCGTTGATTCCTTGAAGATTAAATAATTAGGGATGACGATTTAAAAGATAATTGTGAACCCTGATACTTGCTAATTTATATCGTGCGTATGTCAAATTATTAAAGGCACATTTCTGTTAGTTCAAGTGAAAGACGAGCGTATGATTCTCCCATTCAGCGGCATTACCGGGCGAAAGTTGTCAACAATATTAGCCCCAGGCTTCTGCCAAAAAGGGTAACCGTGAAGGGACCGCAACATCTCCATATGTTTGCTTGGAATTGTAATGGTTTCCTTCAACACTATCCAGGTAACGCTCTCCGAACAGGGTGGTGTAGTTAAAGACCCACTGTAGGTCCAATAATCCTCCGTGCACGGGATAAGAACACTTGGATCAAACGGAGTTTTCATTCTGTATTTATCATCCTTGTGTTTGATCCGCGGTAGTAGATCAAAGATTGGTATCATCTGCGGGCAGTCTTCGCAGACTTCAATAAAAACTCCAATCACAGCAAGACCGTCTTCCTGTGTCACGGCGCTCTCAAAACTATCAAACAGATCAACGTTCCAATGAACCAAATGGAGTTCAGCAGCGTATGATTTTCCGTTGACCTGGTGCTCTGAGCCATGATCGTCGCTAGCGCCCCAGTGGAAGTGAAACTGTTTGAACTGATATTTATGAAGCAAAGGTCCTCCACTCAGCTGATAACCACTACCTGATGAGCGAGAAACCTGGACTGAGTGTCCATTGTTTGTGATTGTATAATCACTGTCCTTTATGTACAGCAGATGGAGAGGGGTCTGGGATAGATTCGGGTCGTATCGTACGCCAGCAGTCTGAATGTCAATAGGTGACTGTTTTTTGCCCGCAGCAGCAGGATAACTGCTGGCCCAGGTAGCAGGCCCACGGTGGATGGTGTAGTCCCAGGAAAGACACTGGACACCTGACCGCATCCTAATCAAATTTAAAAAGAAATTCAAAAAAAGAAGAGTGAAGCTTATCAAGAACACATCGCTTGAGACAAGCAAAGGAATTGAGCCAAATGTGAAATTAAAATGCAGATGAAATATTAAGATAGGTTCAATTTCGGCCGCTCTTTTCGGTGAGGAGCGCGGGCTCGAACAGCGGCTGGTAATCGAGGCTAATATCAAGAGACTTGAATCAGTAAAAAAAAATAGCTGACAGAAAGATCCTCACTAACAGTATCTATATTGCTGCTATATTTTGCCATATTTTTATCGCCATTCTCATGCCTGGCATCACTGTGGGAAATGAAATTCACCAAAAAAATGGAAAATAAATGAAAGGGCATTTTTTGATTTGTGTATCTATTATTACTATTACAAGTCGTCATACGAACTGCCAATACAAATGGATTCCTAACTTAAAATAATAGAAATTCTACAATATCAAAAATTTGCGTAGTCTTTTGATCTAAAATAAGTAAAATTTTCATGTAACTTTAGAAGTGGCTATTACAGTTAATAGCCCTCCAAGGACTCATTTACATACTCTGCCATGTACACAGTAACTGGGAGGTTATGTTATTAAATTGGCGCTTGAAGCTGATATATTTGCTTCAGCGGCACTTTTTGATAAAACTTACAATACAGCTTTCGGAAAAAATTGGAGGCTACAGAGATGTCTTCTAGATATACTGGTCCGAGTTACATTTCGTGATTGTTGCCTTTTAAAGAAAACAAGATTTGTTGTCTTTAAGTTGAATGTCATACTCAGGTTATTATGTCTCGTTATAACATATAACTATACAAGACTTCAATTGAGGACCAAGTATATTTATCGAAGTCAAATCGCGCCCGAGAGGAACAAGTTAGATTAAAGAGTATTTTAAAGTGAATACAGCGTGGCAGAAACCTTTTGAGAACACATTTTGCTGTCTTCAGCCATCCGTTTCAGATTAAAACATTGCATTCAAAATAATTATTCGTATAATACATGTTTCACTAGAAATAATATCTTACCTACTACTGCGACAAACTTCAACACTAAAATAATAGCAGAGCTTTTTCGCGGCTTTCGCCGATAACTGAACACTATGATCAAGTAATTAAAGAGCTTCGTTGTTCTGTAGAGTTTTATTCCACCCGAGGTTGTTAATCTGCATCTGTTTGTTTTGTAGCAACACTTAATGTACATTTGGGCGGTAAAAGATTAAACACTAATTAAACCACGTGGATCATTACAGTTGTACTATTTTGCATGACGACGAAAAGAAGAGAGAAGATTTGCCAACTTTGAGAAAACGTAACTACCCAGAATTGGTGTTTTGAAATACATGTAAAGTTATTATTACTAGCATTAATTTTTATCATTATTTGTTTTATTTACTTATTTCGGAATTGCACCTTTTAAAGAATCACTGGATCACAGGTTTGAAATATTCATGTAAGGAGCAGGAAGTGCTAACAGTCCTTTTTTATTTAGAAACTCGCATACTTTGCTAAACTGATCCCGCAAACATAAATTCCCTCCGAGATTTGTATAATTCTTTCTTCATAACATACACAAGACGAAAAAATCGATAACTTACCATTCCAAATTTCTCCAAGCTCATAACATCCTAACATCTATGATTCCAGTTTTCAAAACATTTGCGTATTCCTTAGATATGTCAGTTTTCAGGGTATAAAAGAATGTCTTTTCTTGTAGATTTTTGTTTAATGTCAGAGTTGTTACCCTCCGAGCGAAAGTTTTGTGTTCGACATTGCTATATTTTTGAGTTAATAATTTAGCTATTTTGTCTTCGCATCACTTAAAACCCCACCGCCACTTTTTAACCAAACATCTTAGTTGCCGCGCCGTTCTTTTTGCGCGACGTTAATCAGTCCCTGTCTTAGTGGTGGATTTTAAGATTGACGTCAATAGTAAAATAACAGCACTCACGCCCAGGTCAAAAGTCGAACTTCACACCTGACGAACCTGAAGATACGGTAAAATGGGCGACAAAAAACGTGCAACTTCTTGAACTTGTTTTGTGACTTTGCTAGCCTGTACAACGAGTTGAATAGCGATGTTGCGCGTTTTACCGCCCACGAAAAAAACCCTTGCAACCTTATTTGCTGCAAGGCAGGTTCAAACCTGGGTGGTAAAACGCACAATGTCGCTATTCAACTCGTTTCACAGCAATGTTGTAAAACAAGTTGCACGTTTTCACTTTTGTGTTGTCCGTTTTATTGTAACACCAATGAGTAAAATCTATACAAGGGAATGTTAACGAAAAAAATTCACGCGACCACAGGCAAACCAGTTGTCCACGGGCCATTAACAAAACCAGGATCGGATTAGCCTGCGAGCAAGCTCTCCTATTTGGGCGAGCTTCGCTCGCGCGTTCTCGCGAGACTCGCTTCGCTCGCCCAAAAAGGAGAGTTTGCTCGTAGGCTAGGATCGGATTGCTTGGGTCGGATCGGACTCCGGATCGGATATCTAGCGCTGTTCACCGACCCTGAGGGGGATAGTTGTTTTAGTATTTACCAAATCAATTGGATAAAAATCAAAAAGGAACTTTTTGTTAATAAAAGACATAACTTAGTTAGAGTTTGTTTACGTTTCAATTGACAATGTTTCGGGAATCATTTTTTTTTTAATGATTTTGTTGCAAATTCAGTAAGAAATTTTTTTTTCCACCCATCCAATAATGAGTATGTGTTCCTTGGTCCGGCCGGTTTTACTTTGTGATGTTATTTTCGGGAAGAAAATAAAGTTACAATACAAACGAAGCTTTCCCAGTGATTATTGATTTGCTTACCTTCTTACGCTCGATTCGAGGTTTTCCTGATGCTAGCGAAGGCTGGAAAATCAAGTTAACGCGAACGTCTTTTTTGTGGCGCCTTTAATTACTTGCATATATTTTGAATTTGCGATTAAGTGCGTTACGAAAGCTAATTTTTGGTGCACATAGCGTACAAGAAATGTTCTTTCGACTTGCAAAAAACTCGATCTTTCTATAGGTTGAATTTTAAAACCAAAGTTGTAGATAATATTTCAAAGTAAGGTTTGCGTACTAGGTCCTTAGTCCGGCCAGCGGACGACAGGTAAACCGGTCAAACAGTCTTTGAAAAGGGAAAGCCTCAAAAAGTTCAATGAATTGAAGTGAGGATCTTTTAACTTTGAGTAACATTTTAGGTAAAGCACTTTCAATGAGTGGAGTAAAAAACCGGAACCGCATACAGCGTTCAAGTTAAATATATTGCTCAAGACTTTCCCAGTAGCAGTGCACTTTTTTTATAAAGTAATGATATAGAAGGCCATAGAAATGAAGCTTCTATCCGTCCGATCGGTTTCATTAGGGAGCTTTAGCAAAGTCAAAAAATCTGACAAGAAATAGGTTTTAACGAGCAAAACATTACTCTGCACGGACTGCGCGTGCATGATGACGCACGCTTTTCGGTTTCCGAGCCACCTGTGTCATTATTAAAAACAGCTTTTCTCAAAATAATTCTTCTGCACCAAAAGCGAAAATACCAGTCCGATCCGATCCGGAGTCCGATCCGATCCCCAGTCCTGTCCGGTCCGGTCTGGTCCGGTCCGATCCGATCCCCGCTTTTGTTGACGGCGACAAAATTGGAAAATTGGATGAGTCGTCGAATCTCCCATGAACTAAAATCGTCCGGCAGTCAAAATATAACAAAACAAAGCTAACATACCTTTTTGTTGAGTTTTGCAATCGTAGGTACCATCCAGTACCTACGATTGCAAAACTAGAAAATGCTTGCTAATTCAACGATTTTATAAACAAGTCTTGTAAGTAATAAAGTGTAATTATAACTCCGGCATACTTACACGGTACCACGAAGCCTGCAAAATGTCGAACCCACTTGCCTGGTGAAAGAGACGAAAACTTGTTTTCTAAGAAAGAACATTACTGAAGGAGCTTCCGGAATGCATGTGTTTGATGGCACGTTCTTTATCTTGTTGTCAAGCCTGTCTTGTTGTGTTTGTGTGACATAACATGTGACCAGTAACGCAATGCCTTCGCAATGCCTTAGTGCCTCAGTTGAAGGGACTGGCAAAATTTGTTCCCTATAACGAGGTTTCGTTATATCGAGGTTCTTTTTCATATATTTTATTATAACTGGGGTAAAAAAAATCGTTCGTTTTACTGAGGACCTCACATGTAGAGGTTCGCTAAATCGCGGTTATTCTGTAATTAATAATGGCTGTGGTGAAATCTGGAAGGGGCAGTGCAGAAAGAGAGGGGAAGCAGTGTCTAAATTATTCATTGAAAAGAGCGAATCATATCTAATTTGAACAATTTATCATATGTCATTTCCCGAGGATCATGTTTTTATTCGCTGGTGTTTAATTTCTCGATTTCTTTGCAATCGTGAAAAACTGGAAATTAAACTGACCCGCGTAAAAATAAAACTGCTTTGATTTATTGTTGTTTTTGTTTTGTTTGTTTGTTTGTTTGTTTGTTTAGGCAATTTTGATAATTATTTTATTATTATTGCCTTCGGGAAGAATTTTGCAGATCAGAGCAGAGGCTGTTATCCACAGGGGCCGGTCGAGCCCTTCTCGATGTCCATAATTCTCCATTTAATATCCAATTAGACATAACTTTGTTCCTTGTTTTGTCTTTATTCGCCCTGATCTGTCTACATTGTTTTAAAACCAAGTAGCATAATTTAGAGCAACCAGAAAAATTTCGCCATAATTTGGCATGATACGCCACTCGAGAAAAGCCTCCTGGCGCGAACCTCGTCACAAATATTGGGCCAATATTGCACCGAAAGAACACAGTTAACTACGAGTTAATTAAGACTGTAGAAAATACTTAAATACTGTACAAATACTCAGATGAATTTAACCAGCCTGGTTTTCTTGCACTCTAAAATTGCCTTTTTAAGCAGCACGGAAGCAATTCATGAGACTGTTATGAGCTTACTATGGTCTGCTATGGTCTGTCAAGGGAAAGAGATCCACGTCAGCTTTGTAAGGTGGCACTGCTGACCTGCATTACCAAATAAATCATGTATGCATGTATGTATGTATGTATCCATTTCTGTATGTATGTAGACAGAAACATACGAAACTGTATGGCCAGGTTCCGTAACTTGGTTTAGATTATAGATATCAGCTCCCTGACACTCTATCACAACTCACAACTTCTCGGTAAAAGTAAATTTATCAAAAAGAGATCACACGTCAAACGGATCGGCCGAACAAGTGTATAGCCTGCGTAGCAGGCGTCGAAAGGGTAGGGGATAGGGATTAAGAGCAAAAGGGAGGGAGACGCACTGACCAACAAGTGTACTGAAGGAAAACTGCAATCAATTTTAAAACCAAGCTGAGAAAACGTCTTAGCAACGAATTTTCCATTTTGTGACTCTTTCGGGACAATTACCAATGTATTGGCTTATTAGTCTAAAACGAAACCCACTGCAAGTGTGAAAGGTGTGATACTCTGTTATACCATTGGGTGTAAAGAGTATAATAAATATGGCTTTCAACTATTAAGAATCAATTGTGGGTATAGTAATGGTTCAGTAATGCATACCAGACACTCTATTACTTTTCAAGATTAAGATGCTTCTGAGGGATTAAAAATAAAAAGAAATTAAGTTCATCACGGGTCAGTTTGGTGGGTCCGTCTAGTGAGTTATCTTAGTGTATTGGGTCACACTAAAGAACTGGATTAAGACACTTAATAATCGCATTATATTAATACTATGGATGAACGAGGCAGGTCATCATTGAATAAAAGCCTCGGCGGGAAGCCGTTGGTTATATAAAGGGATGTTCAGTGAGCAGGTGCATACAGCTAAAATATGCTTCAGTACGAGGACACACTGACTTGAAACCGGCAACATTTGAATGTCTTCAGCGCAAGAAGCAGGTACTTATCTCTAACAATGCTGACTGTTCAAAAGTTTTGGTGCTAGTATTTTTTTTTTTTCTACTTTAAGAAAACCTCTTCTTTGAACTGTCCCCTCACATTCTAAGGTTGCTTTTGTTTGCTGAATTGTGTACTGTGTTTTAACAAGTTATATGCTAATCACCAAGAATTCCCATCCATTACCACTCTGCACCGAAAATGATTGCAATTTCAAACACCCAAACGTTACAATGTTAGCACTATTGAGAACTAAGTCAGTGAGAGGACCTTGACAAACTAAGACAACGCTTTTTAATAAACATTTCCAAGTTTTCTTAATCATCTGGACTAAGTGGATTAAGTGAATCAAACATGAAATTAAAATGAAGGTGAATGAAGAAGTACTCTCTGCTTTGATTTTACACTTTTTTGGCTACGCAGATCTACTCTGGAAAATTAAGTAATTGCTCAAAATTAGTGACAAAACAGAACCGTATTTAGTTACTAGTGCAACTGTCAAAGTATCAAAACATCTCAGGGTCAAAATACGTCCATTTCAACATTAAAAATTTGGTTCTTTAAGGTGCTATAGCCGCATTATCTCGCTCAGTATCCATGCATTTCCGCTATCACGAAGTAATCTCGTTAATTGAACAGCATGATTAAAGTATCTTAACAAAAAAGTCATCACCAGAGAATGGTCTAAAAGCAAAGATAGACTCTGCTGACTGAAAATTTTTGTGGAATGAGCTATTCATCTTTTCGAACATCGAAATTCGATGGACGGCCTCTCGTACTAAACTGAATAATTGAATCACTCCACACTGAGTGTCTTTTCAAGTTCAATGATAAAAAGACGCCCGGTGGGGAGATCAGTTTCAATTCTTTTGGAGTTTAAATTTTCAAAAACAATTTTTTGTTTTTGTTTTCAGGCTAGGAGAAATTGATCGACGATAGATTCAGAGCGGGTCGTAATAATAATTAACCTAGATGTCGGCAATTCTAAAGGTGCAAAATTACGCACTGCAAAAATATTAAATATCTTTTTTAATATTTGCGAGCGAAAATGATATTAAACTCGCAAAACGACGTTTTCTTTTATTATTATTGACGTACATGGACAATTTATTTTCCTGAGAAATTCAAATAGTAATTATCAATTTGAACGGCCAAGTCTAAAATAGAAAAAACCCGGTAATTTTCATTTGGTTTCAAAATTCTAATTGGGTAATCTTGGTAAAGACGATTATCTTAAGTTAAAAAAACTCAATTGAATTGAAAAAAAGGAAGTTAGTGTTGTGCTGATCTTTCATTTCCGGCGATCGTAACAGCTGCCCGGTACATGGGCTCGCTGCCGGATTTTTCAGTCGGAACCGACAAAAATGGCCTGACGAGCAGACGCCTCTTTATTTTGCATCCTTCGTAGAAAAATAGAAATGGAAAATAAAGAAACGAAAAGGAAGTTGACCAGTACACCAAACCAACTGATTATCGTTTTCTAAAGAACATTCATAATCATGTGGATTGAATTGTATTAACGATTCAATGAAATTCATAGTGATTTCAAAGTACAACACCAAAATTTTAAGGAGTTTCATTTCGTTACCGACAAAACGTACTGCTAAGGGCTGGTACAAAATGAATTTTTCTCGAAGAGAAGTAACATGGAAGCAAGATTGTTAATGTAGTCCAAATAATATAAGGTGGTAACCGATTTGCCAAAATAATCGCTTATACACATCCGTTGGTTTCAGTCTTACCATTTCCTCTGCGTCGCTGTAGTCAAGACCACGTCTCAGGAATAACTAGACAGTAATCTTAGGAGAGGGAATTAACGATATATCACTCTAATTCTCTACATCCTGTAGGTCTGATCTATGATACTGGCTTAGCAATGAAGGTTTGGAGAAAAGAAATTCTCACCTCGCTAACCCTTTTAACAACAATTCAAGCTTGTTATGCTGTCGCTGTTATAGAGAAGCTATCAGAACATCGGGCTGTGCATGATCTCAGAGGTAGGTTAACTCAGTATACGTGGCTGTTAACACTGACCGACAGTCATGAATAGCAAAGACAAAACTACAAGACTAGAAATGTGCGACATCAGAAAAATGTTTATTTGCAATTGCTACGTGACACCTGTCAAGAAACCTTAACTCGGACCGAACTTATACCAATATAAAAAATACCAAGATTCATCACTTATACTGACACAATAAATACACCGACATATAACAGAGCATACAATGTAAAAGAGGAAGGAATTATTTTTAATTAATGGATTTCGTTTTGTCCTGTACTCACTCACTTGTAGCAATTTTCATCTGTAAATAGCCCTTTGTTGGTCAAGGTAAAAAAAAAGCCACTTTTAAAAAATAAAAAAAAATCACCCACAGAGGGAAAACATGACTTGGCGACCGCATGTTTTGTGGGTGAAAGAACAAATTAAATCGTCTCAGAAAAAAAGAATTAGAGCAGCTAATGTTTTTAAAATCAGGTTTGGCCGGATTCTGCTTTATAACATTCCTTTGCCTTCTTCTCTCCACGGACTTCTCTTAAAACTAATTTTCCTAGTCTTCTAGCAGGTGGATGAAATTCCTTTCACGGCGGCGCTTCTTTCTTTCTTAGCTTCCGCTCAAGTTGTTTTCATACGCTTGGTTATCTTAAAAGCTACAAAAGTGATGAACAAACTGACGTACTATTTATCTTTTCATTGAAGATATTAAGCTTAAGCAATGCGGAAGAAGACACTCTTCTCCAATAAGACAAAAGCACATGAGGAGCAAGATGCTTATTAGACCTCATGCGCTTAGAAAGCGGATAGTTGGAGGCCATGTCAGCGGTGATGGCGCATGGCCATGGCACGTAACATTGTTCTTAGATGGGTCGCAAGTGTGCGGTGGATCACTCATCTCTGAAGACTGGGTCCTAACTGCATGCCATTGTTTTACAGGTATGTAATCAGCTCTTTACGCATGTCACCTTTACTAAATGAGTGTATTAAAGAAACATACACATAAACGTCTTTTCTAGAGAGCTGCAACAGGTATGTTATCGTGCATGGTTCTAAGCAGTAGAGGGTAGCGGTGCAAGTGAGACGTGATTGTAATCGCACGCCGACATTTTATCAGGTTAAAGCAAATTCTCAGCTCAGTTGGGGTTGATTATTAGTGAGCTTACGCAACAGGACAGCAGAGAGAAGAGGACGGCAAAACGTTTGTGTGTGACAAACATGACAGGGCTATTAGTAGTGTGTTTTGTTGTGATCTTTTACTCAACCTTACTGTGTTTTGGTCTTTCACAAAAACTAGAGATCTGTTTAAAGGAATGTGTAGTTTGGCGGAGATATTATATTACATAATAATTATCAACGCCTGTCACACAGGTTTTGCCGTCTTCTTTCCCGCGCCGTCCTTTTGGGTAAGTTCACTATTACTGTTCTAGCGACGAGTGATCATGTTTGTGCTCCTCAGATTACCGCTCGTCAAAGGATCCATCTCGCTGGAAGGTTAAACTTGGTTCACATCAAACCGCACATGAGAAGAGAATATTTGAACAAGTAAGAGGAGTCAACAAGATCATCATGCACCCGAGGTATTATGGGAAAACTGAAGATGGAGTTCTTGTTCAGCCGCCAGATTATGACGTAGGTTAGTAACATGTTCACAGGCATATGAATAACTTACGACATGTAAATGATAGTGGTATGTAACTTTAAAAGACTCGTTCTCTTTCGAATACGTCATGTTTACAGACTAACGAGTTTAACAGAAAACACATGCTATATATGGATAACGGTCATAACTGGGTTTTTCCTCTTTTAAAAAAAGAGCACTTGTTTAAATAACAACTTCTAGCCTTCCGAAATTATCATATAGTGACATTTTAAAATTCTAAAATCATCGTATAGTATGTGCAGTTGGATTTAGAGAAATCACTTTGCAAGAAACTTTCTTATACAGTGTAAATGCACGGAAATTCCTCTGGTTTCATTCGAAACAAACGAGATTTCATGTCAAAGGCACCCAACGACGGTTTCCTCCTAAATATACAGAAAACTCTTTTTAGGCCATCAAGAGTACTTTTCAATCTTTAGAAATGCATTCTTAGCGGCGCTTTAAAATTTGTTTCTCTTCGGTATATCCTATAAGGGGAACTTGAGTCTTTTCGAAATTACAAGGGCTTCCGTATTATTTTCTCGAAAATTTTAGATGCCACTTGACGTTTTATGAGAGGGAGATTTTTATTAATTCTCTCTCCATCACATCTTTGAATCCGAAAATTTCAGGTTTCCTTTTTGTACGAAAATTATCCCAACATAGGGAGTAAAATGTGAGTGAAATTAAACTTCAGAAAATCGTAGGGAAGTTATAAGATAAGCTTTAGAAAATTCCGGGCAATATTTGCTTTTCCGAAAAGATAGTCACAGAAAACAGTCGTTGGGTGCCCCTATTCATGTATACAGCTTAGCTTAACGTGTGGCACGAAAGTTTTGCGGGAGTTTATTTGCGGATTGGCGTTTTTTTGTGTTTTGCGGCAACTAATTTTTGCGAATAGGACAGATTGGTCTTTCTTGCTTGAAATTAATTTTTGCGATTTTCAGGAAGTACCCAGTGCCCAGCATTGAGAATATTTTCCTTTTTATTGAGTACGTGCAATAGAATACATATGTTCAAACAATAAACCAGTATTTCGTTGTATACCGTTTCGTTTCTGAATGAAAGAGACAAGTTCTGATTGAACAGACACGATTTCTTTGTACTGTATTGCGGGAAAAATGTTTGTGGTAATTTTTATTTGCGGGAACTTATTTTTACGGATCGCTGGAAAAATTGCAAAAATCACAAAAAATTTCTTACCACACGGTAAGTATCAATACTACATCTTCGTTTAGGATAAAGAAAGTAACAATTTGTGTATTGTGTCACTCTTTCAGCTCTTCTTCGACTTTCAAACCCAGCCAGATATGATAGTCACGTGCTTCCAATTTGCTTAGCAACCGATAGAATAGAATTCCCGTATGGGAAGATTTGCTACATAACGGGCTGGGGAACAATTGGATGGAACAAGCCGCGATCTAAGCTTTTACAAGAAGCTCCAATCCCTTTAGTATCGAGAGATGAATGCAATGAAAAAAAATCATACAACGGAACAGTTCCCCTAACGGCCTTATGCGCAGGCTTTAAAGATGGAAGGGTTGACGCATGCCAAAAGGATAGTGGTGGACCGCTTGCTTGTGAACATAGCGGACGCTGGTACCTCGTGGGTGTGGTATCGTGGGGGAAAAGATGCGCGTTGCCGAATAAGTACGGTGTTTATGCCGACGTACGAGTTTTACATGCGTGGATTACAAACATTGTGGGAAATGACTGACATACGATTAGGTGAACACTCTTTTTTAAGTTATACATCCGAGACTCTAATGAGAGGTACGGAAGCGGCGAATGTTACTTTAAGTTTCCTGTTTGTAGCTAACCTATCTCTGTGATAACCTCTTATATACAAAATGACCACAAGAACAATCATTCCAACAATTAGAACACTGACTATGATAACTGACACCTGCCAATCCTTGTCTTTCCGTGTTTCCTGCTTTTCGTGCGTTGTAAAATTTGAGTTGTTGTTGACGTTGGTAGGCCTGTGTTCTGCCGTGGCGTGCGTCATGTCTAAGATCGTATGCGACGCCAATTTTGACATTGTCCTGGTTATGAAGTTCTTGAATTTGTCTCTACTTGATGAATTTTCCGACATGTTTTCGTTTGATACAAAACGCATGGTGAAAGTTTCAAGGCTTCTGTCCCTTGCAGTTATCAGTGTTTCTACCAAAGGTGTCGATGTCATTGCTCCAGGTGTTGTGTGTCTTTCAACTGCATTCATACTTGATGCTGACGTCATAATTTTGACAGACTGTATTGAGGTGTAAACATTGCCTATGAATATGGAAAAAGTTACATCATGACCAAAAGAGTCACTAACTTGCCCGTGCAGGCTCGGGCTCGGCTCAGGCTCGGGCTTCAGTTTTTCAGAGAATTCTGGAATTACTACTTGGGGCAAGAAAAAAAAAAATCCCTAATATATTAGGGACCTTACAAAACTACGACGGCGACGGCAACGAGGACGTCAAAAAAGCAACAGGTTTAATGAGCACAACAACAACTCTGCACGTGCATCACGCCTTTTTGTACATTTCTTTGCTGTCCCTGCACAACTACGACGTGAAATGACCAAATTTTAATTTCACTTGAAAACGGGAACGCCAAGGCGATAAATTCTACCACCTCTGTCTTAACTCGGGCGCGGTTCCCTCTCTTCAAATAAATTAACAGCGTGTTGGAAATATGTAAAACTTTAAAAAGTTTAAGTAACAACCTCAGCTTTAAAGTACTTCCCCCAGCGTTTTCAAATTTCTCTCATTTGACCGCGGTGAAAACCTTGTCGTGGTTTCTCCGAGAAATACGATCGGAAATGCCTCTACGTCCGAAGGATACGGTGCGATTGGCGTATTAAAATTGGTGTAACTATGGCAACATGACATGTTGCGAAACGCTTCTTGTTTATTATCGTTATCCATCTATTCATCATTTTCACGGAGATAATAATGCACCCTGTTTACCCCCCGAAATTTTATATAACCTTTGTTTCCAGTTTTTCCTGGGTACATGTATAAGAGTAGTCCCAAGAGAAATCAAAGCCAATGGTTATGTAAAACTTTTGGGGGTAAACAAGGTGCATTATGGTGTCAGTGAAAATGGTCCCCTATTTAAGCCTTAAATCCTTACCAGTAAAAGATCTTGAATGGTTACATGCATTTTATTTGAATATATTTTGCATGCAATGGAGTCTTTTTTGTGTCTTTCGAAGTTGAAATAAAAAAAAGGATGAACAGGAATTGTTGAAAAGATAGAGGCGCTCTGGAGCTCTCAAACTTTTCCAAATCGTTTTTCCACTTTGTCAGTGATGTTAGCGACGTCGTCCTTGCCTTTTTTTGTACCTTCGTTGTATTGAATTCAGTTGTAGTTAGGAATTACCAAACCATTTCCAGCAGTTACCTACTGCCGTACACTTTAACTTTGTTACTTGATAAGCATAACTGCATGATTAATTGCGCTACTAGGCAGAAAACGGCAAATCTTTGACTCCTTAGCTAATTCGTGCACAGAAGCACGATTAATTCTGTAAACACTTCAGATTCACGATCTAACTTACCTAGGGAACTCGTAGCAAGCTTAGTTCGATTTTCAAAGGTTGTTATTCCCTGTTGGATCAGAAAGGCCATGAGGAGATAACGAAGTTTCACGGTTTTCAACACCATGATCCAATAACTAGTGTTTTTATTTTTTTCCCAAGTCGTGTGCGGGGTTTTTGGTCACCCAGTCACTTGCTGGTTTAATCAATTCAGTATGAGCTTTACGGTTCTGGATCACAAACAGTAGACATGTTAATGACCATGATCCTAAGTAATAAAAACAATCAGACTCAGAAGCCTAAAACACGCATTCATCAAGTAGTACTCTCCTTTTACCTGGCATGAGTAACCTAACCCTAAATAACTTAACTCTTCAATTTCTTTTTTTTTCACAAGTAAAAAAAAGGAAAAAACCTGGAATATAAGTGCTTAAAGGGAATCAATATCGATATCGCGGCCTTACAATAAACTTGTTGACACATGAAAGAAATTTGTAAAATTATTGTTTGCCTAAGTAAGACTTTTGTGTCACGTTCACTCGATTGGTCATTATTTTGAATGACGACAAAGCCCCTAAGCCTTTCTCCACACCTACTGTCTGAAAAGGCCGTCTGTAAGGGCAAATACAAGAGGTTGTTAGAGTTGTTGCGGATGATATTATACTTATCATGACCTTTTAAAATTTCAAGTTTTTTTCCCCATCAGCCGCTGCTGCAATAATTTAGAAAGGGGCCCATTGCCCCACTGAGAGCGAACGAAACGAGAAAAAGAAAAGGGCATTGACACTTATTCAAGTAATTAAGACTGACCAGTCTACTAAATACGTGCGTCCTGTGTTATTCCATTCACTACCAACCAAAACAAGCTTACCGACGAAACGGAAATTTTGTTGCTCTTACCAACATCAGAGCAAAGGCTATAAAACCAATAACTATTTATCTGGGAGTAATTTAGAAACAAAAATGTTATTGATTTGTCGATGCCACTTCATCCCACTCCTCGCGAGAGAATTGTGATTAGTGTTTCTCTACCCCTTATCCTCAAATGTCCCTTCGATTCGCAGGGAAAAGATAATTATGTTCCTCCACTTCCCTAGCCCCTCACCCTCGATGGAACGAGTTTCTTAACATCACAAAGAGAAAGAGTCGGAGATTGAACGTCCACTTCCTTCAGCCTGACTCAGCGCTTGCTTGGAAACTTACGTCACGGAAAGTGCTCAATATGTTTTAAAACGTAAAAAACATTTCGAAAAAAAAACTTTCAGTTATTTATTCCGGGCGTGTGTTTTTCTATCAAATTAAATTAAATTGCCTTAAGGTTTCCGTAAGTATCCTGTATGCGTATGAGTAAATGATACTTTAGAGGAGAAACTTTTTAAAACCTCTTCCCCAATATAGACCAATATAATGCCCCAATGATGAAATATCAAATGGTGGATTTACCTCAGTTTTGAGTCTGTAAGCGAAATCCTATAAGGTTGCCATTCAAATGAAAGGTCCTTGTCCGTAGTTCCATATGATACTATTTTTTGTTCGCATTTTGCAAAATGAAATTTGCAAATTTTGTTGAATTTTGACATTTTGGTCACAGTTTGGAAGTGAAACTGTTAAACACTCAAAATCCGAGAAACTGAACTCGAAGATTAAATAGGTGATTTTCTTTAAATTCCAGATCCCTCTTATTCCACGAGACTCAGAGAAGATCACGGCAGATTCTTGAAACGAAAAAAACGAAAAATCAACAAAATAGCTGAGTGATACGTTTTCTCAAAGTCCAATCCAAGATAGAATTTAGTGAAAATAACTTGTTTGGTTTTTCTACAGCTCTCGGGCTTTGGTATTTGACAGGCGTGGTAGCATGACAGCGGGGATGGCGCTTGGCCATGGTAGGTAGCATTGTTCTTTGATCGGTCGCAAGTGTGCGGTGGATCACTCATCTCTGAAAACCGGGTCTTAACTGCATGTCATTGTTTCACAGGTATGTAATCAGCTCTTTGCGCATGTCACCTCTAATAGAATGCGTGTATTAAAGAAACATGCAGATAAACGTCTTTAATAGAGAGTTGCAACAGGTATGTAATCGTGCATCGTCCTAGTTATGAATTCCTTAAGAAGTAGATGGTAGCGGTGCAGGTGGGAGGCGATTGTAATCGCACGCCGACGTTTTTCAGATTAAAGCAAATCCTCAGCTCAGTTGTCTTTTGAACCTTAGCGAATTTTGCAACAAGACGGCAGAGAGAAGAGGACGGCAAAAGGTTTGTATGTGACAAACGTGACAGGGCTATTACTAGTGTGTTTTGTCGTGATCCTTACTTAACCTTACTGTGCTCTGGTCTTTTACAAAAAGATCTGTTTAAAGGAAGGTGAAGTTTGGCGGAGATATTATATTACATAATTATTGTCAACGCCTGTCACACAGGTTTTGCTGTCTTCTTTCCCGCGCCGTCCTCTTGCGTAAGTTCAACATAAGTGTTCTAGCGACGACTGATCATGTTTGTGCTCCTCAGATTACCGCTCGTCAAAGGATCCATCTCGCTGGAAGGTTAAACTTGGTTCACATCAATCTGTACATAAGAGGAGAATATTTGAACAAGTAAGAGGAGTCAACAAGATCACCATGCACCCGAGGTATTATGGGAAAACTGAAGATGGGGTTCTTGTTCAGCGGCCAGATTATGACGTATGGATTACAAACCAACAGATAATAGTGGCTTATATATAACTTTATAAGACACGTTTTTTTTCGAATACTTTAATTTTACAGACTATTGGGTTTCACAGAGAACAACACGGTTGTTCCTCTTTTTTAAAAAAAAGGCAATTGTTTAAATAATAACTTTTAACCCAGTTCCGTGATGATAATACTGACATTTTAATATTCTAAAATCATTGTTCAGTATGTGCAGTTGGATTTAGAGAAATCACTTTGCAAGAAACTTTCTTATAAATGCGAGGAAATGTCCCTGGTTTCAGACAAGACAAAAGATATTTCACGTATACTGCTCATACTTATTCGTATCAACACCATATCTTCTTTTAAAGTATGTTTTCGACATTCAGAGGTAGACCTTGCCTCAGCCACAAGCTAGCCGGACAGTAGTACTAATGTAGAAAGTAACAATAGATGTATTTTGTGTTACTCTTTCAAACCTAGTCAGATATGATAGTCACGTGCTTCCAATCTGCCTCCCAAGCAATATAATTCAATTCCCGTATGGGAAGATTGCTTCATAACGGGATGGGGAACAACTGGATGGAACAAGCCGCGATCTAAGCTTTTGCAACAAGCTCTAATCCCTTTAGAATCGAGAGATGAATGCAATGAAAAGAAATCATACAACGGAACAGTTCCCCAAAGGGCCGTATGCGGAGGCTTTAAAGATGGTAGGGTTGACGCATGCCAAAGAGACAGTGGTGGACCGCTGGCTTGTGAACATGGCAAGGCTGGTACCTCCTTAATTGGTCTGGTATCGTGGGGGTAAAGATGTGTTTATGCCAACGTACGAGTATTACATGCGTGGATTACAAACATTGTAGGAGATGAAAGTTAAAACGGCAACAAGATTCACTAGCTTCTTGACATGGTTAAGTGAACACTAGTTTGAAAGTTACACAACGTAACCACAGCAGAGAAGTTTTTTCCAACTTGTTCAGTTTCAAAAGAAATCACACGTTAAATTTTAATTCTGGACAAAATGTATTGCACAGTTTTAAGATGGTTTTCAACAGGAACGGCTGACTTACTTATTAATCGTCTTACATGACTTCACATTGTACAAAGGAGGACAAAACGAGAAGATGAAAGGACAAACTGATCAAACTTGTTCTACTTATAGTGTTGTGAAAATGAAGTACAAAAACTTCAAGAACATCTTTAAATAATTCAAAGGATAACACAAGCCACAGAAAGGGATATAGAATGCTTCCTAAGAAAATTTTTCTCGGAAGCCTTTGCCTAGAGGGAGGGTTCGAAGTCTCGTTTTCGGGTGATTTTTCGTCTAGCACGAGTTGGTTACTGCCGTGCCAGTTTAATTCAAAGGACCGCAAAAGAATATGCCGCAGAAAGTTTGGATTCTGGAATGCTGATCGTATTACGTGAGAATGAACTTTACAAGACATCAACATGACACCGATAGAACCCAAAACAGAGTGCGGGTTTGTAGCCGTTAGTATCTTTTGGGGGACGTAGATCTGTTCTATAGATCCGATATGCTGTACAGTTTGTATGTTTTTAAGGTTTGTTTTGGCCATTTTAAATATTTTCTTTGCGAGACACCAACGTTGCCCTCCGGAGATACGTGATGTGGCGTGATTTGGTGGATGTTAGGGTTTAATTTTAGGGCTTAAAACAGAGTGCTTCTCTGTTCTGTCTGTTGTCCGGATGAGCCACAATAATGGGCGTTTTGGGTATTATCGTTATCGTCTGATGTCTTGCAAAGTTAAATTCACGTAGTACGATCAGCATTGCAGAATTCAATGTGTCTAATTTAATTCGTTCAGTTGTGTTCTGTATAGCATGCAGTAGCACGACGTTTGAAACAGGCCAAAGATACAATAAACTGTCACGTCTCGTCCGCCGAGACTCTAATTAGAGGTATGGATGTTATTTTAAGTTTCCTGTTTGAGGCTAACTTATCTCTGTGATAGCCTCTTATGTAAAAAATGACCACAAAAATAATCATTCCAACCATTAGAACACTGACTATGATAACTGACACCTTCCAATCCTCGTCTTTCCATATATGGTGCTTTTCGTGCGTCGTAGTAATTGGTTTGTTGCTAGGGTTGGTAGGCCTGCGTTCCGGTGTCGCGCGCGTCATATTTGAGTTCACGTGCGAAGTCAATTCTGGCGTTGTCTTGGTAAAGGGCGTCTTGGATTTGTCTCTACTTTGTGAATTTTTCGACATGTTTTTGTTTGATACAAAATGCACGGTGAAAGTTTTAAGGCTTCTGTCTCTTGTAGTGATCAGTGTTTCTACTAAAGGTGTCGATGTCATTGCTCCAGGTGTTGTCTGTCTTTCAACTGCATTCACACTTGATGCTGACGTCATAATTTTGACAGACTGTATTGAGGTGTAAACAGTGCCTGTGAATATGGAAAAAGGTTACATTATGACCAAGACTCACTAACTTGCCCGTGCAGGTTCGGCAGGTTTAAGATAGCCAAACGCATTATTTTTCGCCCTTGTCCTTGTATGCCATTCTTTTACCTTTTAAAATGGTCAATGAAGAGTGCTGGGAAAGAAATACCCTCTGATAATGGAGACGAGTTCACTTTTGCAAAGACTTCTGGGACTATTACTAGGGGCAAGGGAAAAATATTCCCAAAAAGCATTTCGGCACCAGTGACACCAGTCCTCTTATCGTTTGTAAAGTGACGAATTGGTGTGTCTGCTGAGGTGTTTTTTTTTATTTTACTGAGTAAGATTTTATTCACATTAAGCCAAAACATTGACCAGGATGTATAAAAGAATTAATTAATGTGACTATCTTTGTTTAGTAAAATCCAACTATTGGTCTATTATCAATGCTGCGTTCTGATTGGTTGAGCCACTACTAGGCTATATGTTATAGCCCACGGTAGCAAAAAAAGGATTTAAGTCTAGCTTTAACCAGCTAAAGTTGTTTTGTCTCGATATTTTTGACCAGCTAGTTGGATTTTACTAAAACAATTATTCCTCTCGCCCTTATGGCCCGTGAGGCCCATGAGGCCGAAGGCCGAATGGGCTATTGACTCAGAGCCCATTCGGGCGAGAGGAATAATTGTTAAATATTTCTCCAAATAATAAGCTTCTCATTTTAATTAAAAACGCTTCGCGACCAAGTCAAGGATTCTGTTGACAAATGGCGCCGGAAGTAAATTAACAGCGTGTTTGATATATATAAAACTTTAAACAGTGAAAGTAACAACCTCAACTTTGGAGTACTTTCCTTAGCTTTTGCAAATTTCTCTCGCTTCACCACGGTGAAAATTAGCCTGCGAACGCACACGTATTTCCGGTTGTCGGTTGTCGGTTCACTCGAAAATTAACCAGAAATACGCATACGGTGAAATTGGCATATCAAAATGGATGTAACCATGGCAACATAGTTGGTCGAGCTTGCTTTAGGAGAGCGAGACTCTAAAAACGCAGGCGTTTTTTTTTTCCTACGGTCTTTCCCAATTGGTCGGCCATGGTCCTAGGCGTTCCTAGCGGAGATCATGAAAACTGGGAATAAGAATCGTGACGACTTTCGTCGTATGCAAATGAGTCTTGTGATGACCATGCAGTTTAATTTGGGAGATGACTGAAATAACGCTCAATGTTTATCACATAGTTCTTTGGCAACATTTTTCCTTCCATGCAAGAAATCCCGCTTTATTTTTTTTCGACAAAACAGGTTACGTTTCAGGCCTCTATGACAGAGCAAGGTGAAAAAATCGTAAGTGCAAAACAGACAAAAAAAAAGTAAAAACTGCCAAGAACACGTGCTCTCTCATGAGAGCTATTTTTTATAATTTGTTTATGACCTTCACGTCCGAAAAATTTAACACAGGGCTGAACGACAGAAGGGATAGTTTTGTAAACACCTGTAGGGGGTCAGGTGGGGATGAGAATCGACACGATGCTCTCATCAGCACGTTTCGAAAGCAGCATACGATTTTCAGAATGCTATGTTTTGAGAAGAAGAACTTGGAAAGTTTAATGCATCATACGGTCATGTCGCTTACAAACCCACACACCATTCGTGGTAGACCCACACTAAAAGATGCAGTGACGGATCCTGGGGAGGGGCCTGGGGCCCCCACTTAGGAGGTGGAATGGTTTCGGAATGCGTCGTTCCACGAATTCTGTCGTTTGAATGCGTTGATTACTTTGGAACTATTGATCACTTCAGTGGTCCAAAAACAAACAATCTTCATGAGCAAAACTTCCAGGTTTACTGGAAGATCAGGATCGAGCATCGAGCATCGGGGATCGAGGATCGGTTAAAAAAAATGGATTGTGGTGATGTGGGCCGGAGACCCCGCCGGAGTCTGTAGATAAATTTCACAAAACATAACCCCGCCCCCTGTACTGAGCACTAAATTTAAGTTAACTACTCCGAGTCTGACTGAGTCAGTGATTGTTTTGACGAGAAACTGAAATTTTCCTGGAAAATGAAACGGCTTTATACCAGTTATACTGTGATAAAACGCACGCTGTGTACAGCTCTACCATTGTACTCTCTGAGATCGCGTAAACATCAACTGTATGCAGGAGCCGATTACGGCTCCTGCTGTATGAAGATATTGAAAGCAGACTCTAAGCAGCCATGGAACGTGTAATTACTTTCACGCAATTTTTAACGGACAACAAATTCAACAGGAATACTCGCGAACTGATTTAACTGTCTGTTGAATAAGCTCCTGCTATAAAACTTACACATTTTACCTGTGCTGAACAAAAAGTGTACCGAGCCGCATCTTGTCCGCTACATAGAAGGTACAGATATATGTAAACTAATATTAAAAATCAATGGTCAGTTTTTTGAGTGTAAAATCCTTGAAAGAGTTCTCCTCACTGGAGAATATCAATATGCAGAAGGTTTTCTTGTCTCTCCTTGCAATTTTACGTTTAACACTCGTTTTGTATTCTAAATGAAAAAGCAGCTGACAATAAAACTTATCTCCGAGCAAGCGAGACTCACATCTACTAAGAGCGTTCTTGTTTATAATCCATCTCTGCACGATGTTTACATGAACTAAGTTGTTTTATTTCACATAGTATGCAACAATTTTCCTTTCTTTTACTTACTTGGGGCGAACGTTAAGTTTTATTTTATTGACAACCTGCCTGACTATAAGCTATGCTAACTGCGGGTTGGATCAACGTCTGTAATACTGTTAATAAAGGTGCTGTTTAAGCCTTAAACTCCTTACCAGTATTAAAGATCTCGAATGGCCACATGCTTTTTAAAATATTTCGCAACATAGTGTTATTTTGTGTGTATTTCGAAATTGAGAAATAAAAGGATAAACAATCCTTCGAAAAGATAGAGGAGCTTTCATGAAAGGTCTCAAACTTTCCAAATTAGTTTTTGCACGTTGCCGTTAATGTTAGTGTTGTCTTTGCCTTTTTGAAGCTTAGCTGTGTTGAATTCGGTTGGAGTTAGGAATGGCCAAACTATTTTCAGCAGTTACCTTCGCCCGTACATTTTAACCAAATTATTTGATTAAGTATAATGCTACTGTATTTTGAGGACTTTAAGTCATAGAACGGCAAATCCTTGACCCCTTAACTAATTCATGCATAGGAACACGATTGATTTTGCAAACAGTCCAGATACACAATCCAACTTACCTAGGGAACTCGTTGCAAGCTTAGTTCGATTTACAAAGGTTGTTATTCCCTGTTGGATCAGTAAGACCATGAGGAGATAACGAAGTGTCACAGCTTTCAACTCCATGATCCAATGACTTATGGTGTGAGTCTTAGGTCACCCATTCACTTGCTGGTTTAATCAATTCAGTATCAGCTTTTGCGGCTCTGGATCACAAACAGTGGACATGTTAATGACCATGATCCTAAGTAATAAAAACAATCAGACCGCAATGTGACGTCAAAAGCTTATATGCTTGAGTTCGCACGTGTCAAAGAAGTAAGAAGTAAGAAGTTTCTCCCCTGCGGGGCTTTTCAGTGATACAAGACAAAGCTATATTTCATCATCAAGTATACATAAAAATAACTACCTAAAAAAAAGGAAAATTACCTAAGTTTCCGTTTAAAATTCTTCTGATACCAAGGGGGGGTTCCGGATTTCAAGTGACAGGGATGATCGAATGGGGGCAAAAATCAAAACCCAAAAACATCTCTAGGGCTTCATACAAAACCTAGTGAAATCCCTGGACCAAAATTTAACCCCCAAAAAATCCCATGCCGAAATTCCGAGCCATAAAAATTTCAGTTTACTTTATTCGCGGAACTACGCGGCCGAGCTTACGTGGGAACTATCACGAATCTTCAGATTGTTTTGAATACCCAAAAAAATTCCCACTTACATCAAGGTACTCAAAATAAAAATACTTGCCAAAATTTTCCTACCAAAAAAAATTCCAAAATCAAAAACTCTAAACCAAAAAAAATCCTTCGATCATGGCTATCACTTCAAATCCGGAGTACCCCCCCCCCCCCACGCTTTTTAATTCCCAACAAAAAAAAAATCCAAAACAAAAAAACCCACACCAAAAAAAAACCCTTCGTCAAGGCGTCCCCTCCAAACCCCGGCACCCCCCCCCCCCCCCAGGCTTTTTGACATATGATGAAAGAAGTTTCTTAACTGATTAATGTTTACCTAAGACTTTTGTGTAACGTCCACTCGATTGATTATAATTTTGAATGACGCCTTTAGGCCCCTGACCAGTGTATCCTAACCTACAAATATTGCTTGCAGAATATTACAGCTTAACTGTTATGATTTTTGTTAAAATATTGTATTATAAATGTAGTTAAACCCGATTCCGGGTGATGGAAAGAAAACGGTTTCCTTATCACCTGCTTATTCCCGGCTCTAAAGATATCTCAAAGCTTTTTTTAGCTAGGTTTAAATGCCGACTAGCACGAAACCTAAAGTGAAGTTATAAAACAACCACCATCAAATGAAATCAGTGAGAATATTTCTCCCCTTTCTACTTCCTCTCCTCGCGGCCGTCTCCTTCCCCTACACGCACTGCCTAAAAAAGTCGTATGTAAGGGTCAGCTCCCAGAGGTTGGTCGAGTTGTTGCGGATGATATTATACTTATCATTACCTTTTAAAATTTCAAGTTCTCTTTTCCCATCAGCAACTGCTGCAATAATTTAGAATGGAGCCCACTGCCCCACTGAGAGCAAACGAAACGAGAAAAAGAAGTAAGACTGACTAGGCTACTAAATACGTTCGTCCAGTGTTATTCCATTCACTACCGACCAAAACCTTTGTTTCTCTTACCTACACCGAAACAAATACTATAAAACCAATCACTATCTATCTGGGGTGTAATTTAGAAAAAAAATGTTATTGATTTGTCGTTTCCACTTCATCCCACTCCTCGCAAGAGAATTGTAATTAGTGTTTCTCTACCCCTTATCCTCAAATGTCCCTTTGATTCGCTGGAAAAAGATAATTATGTTCCTCCACTTCTCCGGCCCCTCACCCTCGATCAAGCAAGTTTTTTTAGCATCACAAAGAAACGTCGGAGAATTAACGTGCAGAAAAACGTTTTCCACTTCCCTTAGCCTGAGTCAGCGCTTGCTTGGAAACTGACACGAGAAGATTAAATGCTCAATATGTTTTAAGACATTGAAAACATTTCGAAAAAAAAAACTTTTAGTTATTTATTCCGGGCGAGTGTTTTTCTATCAAATTAAATTAAATTGCCTTAAGGATCTCCGTAAGTATCCTGTATGCGTGTGAGTAAATGATACTTTAGAGGAGAAACTTTTTAAAACCTCTTCCCCAATATAGACCAATATAATGCCCCAATGATGAAATATCAAATGGTGGATTTATTTCAGTTTTGAGTCTGTAAACAAAATCCTATAAGGTTGCCATTCAAATGAAAGGTCCTTGTCAGTAGTTGTTCCATATGATACTATTTTTTGTTAGCATTTTACAAAATGAAATTTGCAAATTTTGTTGAATTTTGACAATTTGGTCACAGTTTGGAAGCGAAATTGTTAAATTCTCAAAATCCGACAAACTGAACTCGAAGATTAAATAGGTGATTTTCTTTAAATTCCAGATCCCTCTTTTTCCACGAGACTCAGAGAAGATCAAGGCAGATTCTTCAAACACATTTCGTTAAATATGCTTTCAAAAAGAAAACGTTCTGTTGTAGACCATTAAGGCAAGGTGTTTATTAATTCGATAGTTCACCAGCTGACTCGCACACTGTGTTTTGATATCAGCCGTATGGAAATTAGGCTCAGATTCATAGACGCTCAGCAAGTATTGACTACCATTTTTTTGCCAACGAAGACTGCCTTAAGGAAGCTTAGAAAAATAAGAAAGACTTTTGGAAGAAAGGTTTCACAAGGTAAAAAACTGATCATTTATATTTATTAACAATCTCGCTCTGTGGCTAGTTCTATTCCGCTAAATTGTCAGTGTCTGGCGGCGTATTCACGGCCTGTTGCTCGACTGTTTCAGAAAAAAACAATATTTTGGTGGAAACAGTTTAATACCAAAAATGTTAGGTTTTATTCCTTTTAAATGTAGTTAACTGTACACATCATTCACGCTTGAAACAATACTTTCCTTTGAAGCAAAGAATTCTAAAATATAAGCGCGCCTTTTTCACCTTTTTTATATCTGGTTGGGAAATTAAACGCTGAGGGCCGTAACAAGGCGGTATCACGAAATATTTCGTTCAAAACCGAGCTCAACTGAAGAGTTTATTTGCCGTTTAATACAGTTTTTTTTATATAACTAGAGTACAAATGTGTTCAGTCACATAAAAAAATTCAACTTGGAATCAATTAGCAATGTTAAAGTGAACTTGTAAATTATCATGAGCTCTTCTCTTCTCTCTTGGACGATCTGGAATATTTACTTCAGGTATCTTATACCTTCGTTTGACTGCTTGGATCAGTCGTTGTGACAGAAAAAAAGAAAGAAAAAAAATTTGAAAAACAACGTCACTTGATCAGACAAAGCGAAAAGCGTAAAATTTGCATCTTGTCAGTTTTTTTTCCCGCCCATCAAATATTCCAAAAGATGGCAAAAAAGGAAATTAGACGCGCATCTGGCGTGAATAGATGGTTTTCACAGTGACGTCATCAAATTGTAAAGTCAAAATAGCGAAGTTTTACGGATTCTTATTTACACTGGGTTGAAGATAAACAAAAAGTAAATCTTCGAAGAAGTTTCCATTCCCGTAGCACGTTTCATTTCGAAAATACAGCAATTTGAACTTCCGAGTTTTCACAGTGTGTGACACCAAAATAGGAATGTTGTCTCGTTGAAGAAAAGTCTCTCCTCTTGATTTTCAGCAGTATAACCGTTTCAAGTATTAGAAGATATGTTTATGCGCACGTATGCTAGTTCTCGAGTGAAAAGAAAGAACGTTTATAGAAAAAGTGAACTCCAGATGTTTTTGTTGATTTCCGGCGGCCATATTGGTGCACCAAAACGGTACACCAATATGGCGTCTCCATACAAAGCTCTACAAAGATGGGTGAAACGTTTCGGCAAATAACTCAGAAACTGTGGGCCACAAAGACCTGAGACTGGGACAAATTATTTATATTTTTTGGTCTTTTATAACATTCGTTTTCTTGGCTTCTTCCACTGGATGGTTTTCAATTTATTTTTTTTATTGCGTGACAGTGAAAACGATCTATAGCTTTTGAAATAAATTATTGCGTCTAGTTTAACATCACGTTTTCCCTGATTTGCCAACAATGACGGAACAAACAAAGCATAAAAGTGGACAGAACCTAGACTGAAAGACCGAACAACGTTGCAAATTCTTTATTTGGTAAGCGAATTATTTGTTCACGATTTCTCGCTTATTCTTTATAAGAATTAAGCAGTCAAGTTTGTACAAATATTAATGTCAAAATTTACTCATTGCTTCAAAATGCGGGTATAAAGCTAGTTGAACAGTGTAAATTATTTTAACTCCGTACTTTGGTTGTTACTTCAGATCTAGCGTTGTTGGTTTACTAAATGATGTTGTTGAGCCGAACAGTAGTAACTGTGGTCATCTTAGCGTCAGCATGTGATGTTTCTATTCCCTACAGCAAGAAAAGGGTCTTGGGTAAGGAATTTCAGTTTTTTATTTTTGTTCTCTGTCAAACGATGTAGTTATAAAGTCTCGTTTTATTGACAACAGGTGATCTAAGGTTGACTNAAGCCGGGGGGGGGGGGGTACCAATCCCATTTCCCAGCCTATTTCTTCTCGAAATCCCACTTCCCAGTGCTCAAATCCCATTACCAATAGCAGAATTCGGAAAAAATCCCAGTGCTAAACATACCACCTCTTTTCGCTTCGCATCCGCAAAATTATGGCTTAACCCAACAGAGACCCAAAAATTCACGAGGATTTACAAAGATGTTCTGAAGACGAGAGGATCACTTTGGACAGTAATAAAACTCGGAAGTGGCGACTTTATAGCGATTAGCTCCTCTCACTTCACACTCCTGTCATTCCTGCCTGGAGGAAATCGGCCATCCGACTAGTAAGTGTTCTTATCAGCTTCCCAGTCTGGTCTGACGGATCATGTTCATTGTCACTCGCTTCAAAGTACCTGTTCTACCTGTTCGTTGTTAGGAGACTCTAGTACTCTGGTGGTAAACTAGCATCCTACTTTTAATTAGGTGGCTCATCACTTTCGCTTGGAACTCTTTCTACGCCTATCGGTAAATTCAAATTGACTGGTTTCAAGACCGTTTCAGTTTCATATAAGTTCAGAGGCAAAGTGCCCACCCTGTTCATGTGTTATCTTGTCTTACATTTCGTTGTCGTCTGACGGGTTTAGGAGAACTACACAAGTATCGTTGACCGCAAATTGGGGCCATTCAGGGGAAATCTGGATAAAAATGCTAAAAATTGACTAGTCCAAGGTGCATGGACAATTTTCTCAAGTTTCTTAACTCCAGGAAATAAGTGACGCCTCGACTGGTCATGATTCCAAACTATTTATCTCATTCCCATTTTTGACATTTTATTCCCATTCCCACTGACTTAAATTCCAATTTCCCAGGGCAAAAACCAGCCCATCCCAATTCCAATTTTACTTCTAGTTCAGGACCCTCTTGTTTATCTGGCGACAAGAAAAAGACCTTATCTCCCGGCTTAGTGGATAAAGTCGGCTCAAACAATTCTATAGTTTAGACAGTTATTCGCTGTCAGTTTAAAACACTCATATGTGTTCATTGTAATGGGTTTCCAACAAAGAAATCTACTTTCAGACAGTTGTTGTTGAACACATGAAAAACGGAAACGTTTTAGAAAGATTTCCGCACCGCCTAGAGAGTGAAGCTATGACTCGAAGACTGAAACATGAAACCAGCCTAAATGGAGTGAAGCACAAACGGAGAGAGAATGTTTCTCTTTCTGCTTAAATACCCAGGTTTTTCTATCAATTGTTCGCACTCAAACAAACGGAAAAGCAGTTTCCTTATTGGTTACTTACCATCTATACAAATCATAATGCTAGTGTCTTGTTTTTATATATAGCTAAGCTTAAATGCAGTACAGGAGTTTTCCAGGGGAACACTACTACAGTTCCATCGTCGGGTTTTACATAACGCTTCCGGCTCAGCATGAATGAACAGAGCAGGGAAAACTAAGGCGGAGCGGGCCCGCTTTTTTTCAGCTTAATTCATGACACTTTCTATGACCTTCTATTCTCTCTGCAGACAGGAAGAGACATTTAAGGCAAAATCAGATTCAGGTTGACAGTTTCTCAAACTTTTTAGGAAACGAAATGATAAAAACTGTACGAAACAATACTTTTAGATAAACTTTGCAGCATGAAACTTCTTATTTTCGAGTAGATATTGAGGGTAGTATACGGCAAATGAAGTGAAAACTTTGTTGGTCAAGTTGAACGAACTGTCGTTGGCCGTCTAAGCGCTCACTCTCCAAAAATACACCGACAAGTATTACCTAGTATAATGATTATTTGGCCGGCATTCTTTGTTGCTTGCGTCAAATCAGCTCAGCTCCGCCGAATTTTTTTTCAGAAGAACCCAAGTGTGGCGTGAGATTCCTAAACAATGATTTAGAAGATAAGCGAATTGTTGGAGGGCATGTTAGTTCTCCTGGTGCTTGGCCCTGGCAAGTGGCTCTTCTTCTAAACGATAAACAGACATGTGGAGGATCGCTTATTTCTCCTCAATGGGTGGTGTCAGCTTCACATTGTTTTGTTGGTAAAAAAATACACTTCTTATCTGTGTTTCGCCAAATAGTATACAGTAGAATCCCGATTTCTCGAATCCTTGGTTCTTTCGGCAAAATCCCCGATCATTTAACTCAAACCCAACTTGCCTTCACCAGTCAAACACTAACCCCCCGATTTTTCAACCTCCCGATAATTCGTAACAATTTGCTTTTCCCGGCCTTCGAAAAATCAAGAATCAACTGTAATTGTCTACTACTAAACTAGAATGTGATTAAGACAAGATTTTCCTCAACCTAGGTGATTTGCTATTCATCTTAGTCAATTAATTAATTCAGCTTTTGTAAATAAAACGATCCCATTTATCGATGAAAAACTAGATTGCAGAATTTTGGCTCAAAGATTGAGAACTTAGTGTCGCTTCTGGTCCGTACGGAGCGCCACCGTTTCTTCGGTTTTATGTAGAATTAACGCTGTCATGGCTCTGGTTGACCTGGTTATGATGGTTTCAGGTTCCCTGTTATCCAAAGATCCTAAAGACTGGACTGTGACACTAGGAGAACATCATCTCAAAAATGAAGACTGGTTTGAACAAACCAGAAAGGTAAAGGCAATTTACCTTCACCCAGAGTACAAAGAACCCGAAAATAAAGTCGCCGACAACAAGTTACATAGCATTCCACCAGACTATGACGTAGGTAAGATGGTTCCGTCATTTTTATAACAGATCCCCCAGAGTGTTTTAACGTTTTAAGATCTTAAGATGGCCAACAACAAAATCAGCAAAGATAGATCTGTCCACAGGTCCTGCCTCAACTAACAAATTTTGACCAATCCTGACAGAATTACACTCCAAATTGGCGAGCAACATTCGGGGAAAAAATCGCTGTCAATTTTGCTATTCACCTGCTGCTCTTTGCAGAGTAGATTTGTCCCTCTCCTAAAAAATTAGCCAGCCAAAAGTCCATGCAAAAAAAAAGAAACCATAAAGTGGGCAACAAATCGGGCTATAACGAGGAAAGACAAAGGAAAAACAAGAGAGTGAGCAAGAAAGATGGAAATAGATTTGCAAAAAGATGACCAAGACTAATTAACATAGCGCTTTGAAAATAAAAGTATCAAAAAAGAAGGAAAAAGTAAGCATCAAAGAAATAAAAAGAAAGATCAACAAAATAGCTGAGTAATATGTTTTCTCAATGTTAGATCCAAGATAGAACTTAGTGAAAGTAACTTGTTTCGTTTTTCTACAGCTCTGTTGCAATTAGAAACTCCAGCCATTTTTGACAACTTTGTGTCGCCAATCTGCCTGCTTTCTCAAGGTGCTCAGTTCCTCGCTGGTAAGGAATGTTACGTCACAGGCTGGGGTCACACGCAATGGAGAGGGACTAAGCCCGACATTCTAAGAGAAGCTAAAGTAAAGCTTGTACATGAAGACAAGTGCAACGCAGAAAAATCATACGGCGGCGCTATACATAATAGGGCATTATGTGCTGGCTTTGAGGAAGGTGGGGTTGATGCATGCCAGTACGACAGTGGAGGGCCACTGGCTTGTCAACATGAAGGGCTTTGGTATTTGACAGGCGTGGTATCCTGGGGCCATAACTGTGGCCATCCACATAAGTATGGGGTGTATGCTGACATGCAAGTCATGACAGATTGGGTGCGGAAGATTATCAATGAAAATTAAATTTAAAAAAAACTTTAGGCCTGTTAAATTGCTAGACATTAAAAACATTAATATGCAACTATGACAACATTTGCAACCAACATAACCGTAGGAAAACACCAAATATGTATGTTTATTTCTCAGTGGCAAACTAGTTTGAGGGAGTGTTGAAGCTGGTTCAACTGTCAGTGCTTTGGCTCACTAGAAATAATATTGTTGCTACAGTAACATCACCTCATCCATCAAACCATAAAACAAGATTTTAAAGCACTTATAGTAGACTAAAATAAATTTATAAATGAATTTTTTTAAAAAAAACATAACAATAATAAAAGAGATAGTGAAAAAACAGTGAGAAGTGCCAGAGCATCTTGTGTTGATCTGAATCAGTAAACATCTTAATACTAAGTAAAAAAAAGTAAAGTGAACTTAACAGCAAGAAGACTGAGACAATAAATAAATAAATAAAAAACGAAAAAACAGATGGTAACTTGCATTTGCCCGATATTCCAGTTTGCAACACAAGCCTTCTAAGCGGGAAGGTTTGTGTTGCAAAGACACTTCAATGAGTAAAACAAAGTTCCTTCATCTAATAAGCAGGTGCGGTTCTGTCCATATCTGGAAACTTCTGAAAATGTGGAAGAAATTATTTCTCCCTCACCAAATTCATATTTTCTCTGCTCCACAATAGTTCAGTGAGGAATGTATTGGAACTCCACAGCAGAATGAGAATGCATAAAAACTGAAACAACCGATGCCTCCACACACTTTCAGTGCATTTTCAATAAAAAAAGCCCTTTGAGCCTTTGTAGAGGAGAGGGTATAACACGTTTGTCAATGTTTTCATATTAGCTTGAAACAGAAATCTATATCAAATCAGGTCTAGATTAGTCTATGCAGAACTTCCAAACAGGGTACACATGAAGATGGTGAAGTTCTCTAGTAAAGTTCTTGTGAAAGAGTTCAGGTCCGTAATTTCTTTGGTTGAGGTTCCTGAGCTTCTCCGTTTACTCTTTCTGCGTCTTCAGAATCATCACTGTCATCATCTTCTTCATCACTTACTTCTAACAGAGGCATGAAATAAGAATTTTGTCAATATACAGATAACTAATAAAAGGTGATGATAGTGGCTCAAGGATTGCTGATGGAACTCCATGAAAAAGCTATCAGTTCTGTGTTTTGAGAGCATCATCAAAAATCAAATTTTAGCAGCATAGCTTAGTCTGCCTGTCATCTTCCTGTTAGAAGATATATTATGTGTCCTCACATGATAAAAAATAAACACCTTTAGATACATTGTTTGTTGTAATACATGAAGATAAATTACATGTAGACTGCCCGATCATAGCTTAAATGAGGTGTACGATTTGAAAATGGTATCATTGTCCCACTGGGTAGGGACATAATACCATTGTCAGAATTCATCAAACACTGAGCTCTATCACATGAAAATATATCCCTGTACTTGTACCTGTGGGCAGTATATCTTTTAAGGTCTCCTTAAGATACTATGCACTTGCAGTCCACCATCCACCCCAGCATGACTTTACTATGACAAGTAGGTCCACAGGTACCCCAAGCTCACAAGTGAGAACAGTGTTATAAGGGTTTGCATGGGGATTTAAGCGATCGTTATTTAGGGGTCAAAAATACCTCAGAATTTCTTACCTTGTTCCCTTGTCTAAATTTATGGTGTTTTCTTAGCATTTTCAGCCGATTCAGCAGGCATATGCACAAACTCTAGTATAAAGTCCCAACGTCTGAAACAAACTATCACCTATGCTCATTTTTCCCAAATACCATTAGGGACTGGAACAGCCTACCCCTGAATGTCATTGAGGCACAATCCATAAACTCTTTCCGAGCCCAGCTGGAAATGTTTTGATTACTCTTATTTTATTCTTATTATTAGTTATTACCATTAGTAAGGCTGCTGACCTCTTGATAAGAACCATCGTATAGATAGAGAGCACATACTTGGAAAATAAACAAATAAACTCTTAAAATGTGACCCAAAAACACTGACCCCGGGTCCATGGACCCCCCTATAGACCTGGTCCACGGACCACTGTACAGACCGGATCATGGACCCCCCATAAAAAGACAATAATAAAAATGACAATTAGAGATTTGACTTACCGTCTGTTTTGTTTTGTTTTTTGTTATTGTTGCCTCTTTCACTGTGGTGATGAAGTGAGGACCTGTGTACTTCGAAAAAGACCGATAACTTAGCTAACTTGTGTTTTTCCTTGTGCATTCGCTGCCACCGATTGCCTCTGCCATTTTGTTTCGCTCATTCCCCCGCGTGTTCATTGACTTGTCTCAGGCTTCACAAAATAGTGCTCTTTCAACAAAGAAAGATGCTGATGTCCATTAGATATTGATGGCCCTTATTTTATTTGACAGTTATGTGTTTAGTTGCCAAATCTTTCAGCAGGGTGACTTTATGATGACTGATAGAGGAGGGAAAATACTGCAGACAGAATAATCCACACATCAAAGGCAGCAGGTTTCGTATAACCAGGTCACCCTCAGCCTCACTCCTATTCAAAGGCTTCGGAACTAAGTAGCCAACTGTCAAGTGGACATCACTATTAGAGCATTGAGTTGGACAAAGTACTAACATGAAACTTAAAAATAAGGAAGGTAAGAATTTTTTCCGTATTAGGTACATTGCATCTCTTTTTTGCCGAAAGAGCTTTTTAAAAACTCTTTTGTGTTGAAGAATTCAAGATACAGGACAGCAACAACAGCAAAAATGTCATTTAAAATCCACCTTGTGTTCCTTCACACTTCATCAAAATAATTTGAGTCCAATAATTTAAGAAAAATGAAAGATGGTTGAATCCTACTGCACTTGAATTTTTTTTAGGAATCTTTTGCATGAAAACTAGGGATGATACTGTGTCGTAGTTTTGAGGTCTGGAAAAAGTCACTGAACACGAGAAGGAATAAGCCGAACAAAATGGTGGAGGTAATCGGAAGCCAGCAGAGAATACACAAGTTAGCTAAGTTATCGGTCTTTTTCGTAGTACGCAGGTCCTCCTTTCATCGCCACAGTGAAGGAGGAAACAATAACAAAAAACAAAGCAAAACAAATGGCAAGTTAAATCTCTAATTGTAATAATTATTTTATTATTGTCTTTTTATGAGGGGGTTCATAAAGGGGGGTCCATTGGAGGGGTCCGTGGACCAGTCCATACAGTGGTCTGTGGACCAGGTCCGTAGGGGGGTCCATGGACTGGGGGGTCAGTGTTTTCGGGTCACCCCTCTTATAATATTTCTGTTACACAACAACGATTCTCACTCGTGAGCTTGGGGTACCTGTGGTAGGTCACGGGTCATTATCCACCCCACTTCAAGGTTGACAACTAAGTCGCCAAAAGCATGACAGAAGCACGACGTCTGATTGCAATGGTACAGCAGAGCGGTGGAGTTATTTTTAAAAGTTCAACAAGGTCTGCCGTGCTACAAGACTAATTTGGCACGACAAGATTTTCTTAGAGGTAAGAGAAAAACAAAAATTCTGAGGGTTATTACACATAATAAAAAATTTTCTGAGGGGTTGGATATTAAATGGAAAGGCGCTAAAACAATGAAAACAATGAAAAGCCAAACGAAATGATTATCGGTCAGTATAAAACACGGACTGCGGACTGCGGACCACGGACTGCGGGCTGGGTATAAAATACGGACTAGGTATAAAATGCGGACTCCGGACTGAGTATAAAACACGGACTAGGTATAAAACGCAGACTACGGACTATGTATATAAAAATGACTTTAGAAAGGTAAAATCGGGGGAAATGGAAAGCGGACTAGCAAAAACGGTACTCCCAGCTTTAACATTCCCTTGGCTGTTCACGTAGCCTATTCTTCCCACGGAGAAGGAAGGTTATGCCGGTACTCAAGGCAACTGAAATTAAACTCTGAATTTTATAAAAGGAGGGAGTTAGAGGAGATTTGAATTTGCAGTTTTAAACCAATAAGAAGCACCGAATTTAAAAAAAATAGTATTGGTGTAAGTCAGATCAGTAAATTTCTTATCGGATGTCACAATTCCGTTTCAAATAAAGCCTTGGGAATATGAGGACTGAATGAAGAACTCAGACGAGAAGGTCAATGTAGGGCATTCTGCGATGCACAAAAGCAGTATTTAGGGGGG